CAGGTCTCAGCTGTGGACAGATTTACCGCAGCAGCGACACATTCTAGCAGCAGAGCAGGATGTGTTGAAATCTACCGGTAAGCAATCATTACGTAACCTGTGGGCTCTCCTGGTATTGACAGAGGAGCCCACGGGTCCAAAGCCATGGAACAATAACATCAGCCACAGCAGAGGACTGTTGCTTGTATCCGGTAGGCCAAACAAACAAAGAGTCAATGACAAGTACAATTCATACACACACAGAGTGTGAAGCTTTATTTCTCTGTATGTTCAGCATACCCTTCATGCATTCATATATGTCACTGTGAGCCACAACAATATGGATAATATGAGGGGAAATAAGAAAAAACATCAGCTTTTCTAAAAATAAACCAGCACACTCTGGATTTTACTCAGTACAAATTGTTGCTTCTTTTAGTTGCAGTAATAAAACTAATATTTCATGGTACATATTTTGTTGTTGCTTACTCATTACTCAATTCTTTATCCAACAACGTTCAGATAAAACTCCTTATAATTATGCAACCAAATGGAATAAATTGTTACTGGATCGTTGTCTGGCTAAAAACAAGTGTGTTTTATACAATCTTGGAAAGGACAGATATTTCCACCAACAGCAGCATTATGCATCATAACTTAATGCATTTGCTTAGGTCATTTCCTAATGATCTCTCCAAGACAACCGATTTACACATGCTAGCATCGACTGAAAGGGCAGGGGCTATCTGAAGGCTCACATCATGTGAGAATATCACAGTGGTACCTAATGTCACCAGAAAAATGTCAACTGATGTTATTTAAACATGTGAGCTAGCGTTAACTAGCAAGTTAACCCTGGTTTCTGTCTTCTGTAGGCTAGCAGTCAGGTTGCTAGCAGTAGTAAACATAAAACGGTGGATAGTATGAGCTGAATTTCTGTCGAGTCCTTTGAAAATGTCACCATGAATACAATGACGTTTTTATGTCTTACTATCCAATGTTTATAATATAAACAGACATACTAAAATAAATGTTTCTATTAATTAGACATACAGTATATCTCAAAACAAGGTTCATATGTAATTTTTTTTACATATATAGGCTATACTTTAAATACATATATGATTTTACGTCATATGTACATATATTTCATGTCTGTAAATTCAACACATGTACATATATTTTGCGTATGGGCATTTCTGAATGTAAATTAAGATCGTTTATGTTATTAAACCATTTAGTTGACGACATTAAAAAGTCAATCTCTTTGTTTCGCAGGGGTGCCGGTGTTGTTGCGTCCCTTCCAATGTCGAGACCAAACCTACGCTCCTGCTGGGAGGTAAAGGGACCATTGTGGAAAAGACGAATTTTTACTTGCTGTGAGCCCATTTTGAAATTTCTCAGTTACATCATTCTGAAAAAACCTCTTAACCCTCCACCTCCACCTCCACCTCCACCTCCAGCTCTCCAATTCTCCTACCTTCTCAACTTGTCTGCTCGGGGGACCGATTTAGCCCTGACAGGGTCACCTGATCTCTGTGTCCACCAACCACAGAGCTCAGTGGCTGAACACAGCGTCATACAAGCACGTCAGGCTTGCACTGCGAACCCCTAACCCCCCCCCCCCGCCCCCCGACTCTGCCACCCACTTCAGCTTTGGCTGGTATGTCTTATGTTGCCTCACCCTGCAGGCTATGTAACTGACACACTTTTTTTTTTTCACTTGTACCCTTTAAACTACCAAACGGATGTAACAGATTTTTTATCCACTGCAACAGGTTGGAGCTCTGATGTGGACAGTTTGCATCCTGGGAGACTTTCATGTGCACACACAGACATTAACCAACATATACACAGTTACATCAACACACTGACATATGGAGACAAAGAGACAGACAGACAGACAGACAGACAGACAGACAGACAGACAGACAGATAGATAGATAGATAGATAGATAGATAGATAGATAGATAGACAAATGACACAGCATAAATTTAGCCCCACACAGATCTCAGCTGTCCTCTTCCTTCTGACTGCAAACTCATCCAGCAATGCCTGCAGTATCAATAACATGAAGTATCAGGAAACTTATGGCTCTTTACAGCATTTGATTATCTGATTACTCTGACTTTTGCTCTCTCTTCCCTCTACCAATCAAAACCAAGAGCACAAACAGCTCTGTGTAAACCTTTCACTACTGAATCTTTACACTCTACACTACTAACGAACTACCACGATACTACTAACTTTGTTGTGTGGATATATGCAGTGAAAGCTCAAGATCTGGTGTGTAAACTGGATCCGACAGGTTCCTTCACGGTGTGTTTGTGTGTAATAGTTAAAATTCTTGTGTTGATCCAGCCATGCACATGCAAAACGGGCCTGGCTGCACCTTCAACACAACGCAGTGTTGAGAACTTCAACCAAAATGTTCCTCCTCTTACCTGTCGGGCCTTTTCCCAGCAGGATAAAAAAAAACAAAAAAAACAGCAACAACAAATGTATTGATCCAACAGGAAGTGTGAATGATCCAAATGCTAAATGCAAAACTGCTATGTGACTGTGTGGCTGCCAGTCATGGCTTGGTCACCGGACGCTCCCTGCTCTGGGTGAGCTGACACACACATTTACACACAAACCAGCAGGCAGGGGTGTGTGTGTGTGTGTGTGTGTGTGTGTGTGTGTGTGTGTGTGTGTGTGTGTGTTGAGGGGGGTTGTGGTGGTGGAATGGGGTTAGGAGGGAATCTGAGGCTTGGGGGTGGTGGGGGTCAGTTGGAGGGGTACTGCAGGAGCAAATTTAGAGCGGAGTAAAATGTTCGTCAACAGTGACGAACGCGCGACAGAGCAGAGTTCCAAGTGGAAGGCAACGGGAGTGAAGCTCAAACTAGTGCTTCACCTGTGTCTGCGCTGGTTCGGGTTCACAGCGTCTGTCCAATCCAAACCAACCTGGTGGTAACAGAGAGATCACTTGTTGCACTAAATTTCAGAAGATGAAAAGGTGGCTGAGGTTGTCACTGCTGAGAGGCTCGATGACCTAACTTCATCCAAGAGTGTGTGAGGCAGGGGCCAGGAAACCTGCGACTGGTGCCAGCGAGTCTTCAGGGGATACATGAGAACCCCTGGAGAAGAGAGAGAGAGAGAAAGAGAGAGAGAGAGAGAGAGAGAGAGAGCGAGAGAGAGAGCGAGAGAGAGAGAGAGAGAGAGAGAGAGAGAGAGAACTACCAAAGGAATTGACACCTTTTACTTTACACATTGATCCATTGTTAGTATGAAAAACTGATTAAAGCAGCTTTAACAAATACAGAAGAAGAGTGAATTTGATCTAAATGCTCATGATACAGGTTATATCATCACATATATACAGTAGATGTGCAGACATACAGTACACATCCACATACATAACCTAAAAACCTATTATTTACTTGCAAATACTTACAGCCCCTCTCAATATACTCTGTGTGTGGTGATGCTGCTGGAGGGACTGTAGATAGGGGGGGGGGGGCTCCAGCCCTCTCACCTCCTCTGATGTGCGATCCAGCAGCAGTGTTCAGTTCGTTCACTGTGACGGGAGCTGGATGACAACAAACTCTCACCATGCTGTGATTCTCAAGAGACTGAAAAGCTCCAGGAAGAGATTTAGGTGTCTGAGAGAGAGATGGTGATGAAGTATTAGTATTTTTTTTATTTAGTCATCTCACATAATGCAGTAAATTCAAACAATGTAGACAGCAAAAAATTTAAATAAAAAGTCAATATTCTACGTATTAAGTAGTGAGTGGACAGGCTCAGGCCCAGCCAAAATGCTTATATACAGTATGCTGGCCTACATTCTTTACAATTTAAGCTACCCACCAAAAAGAAAAGAAAATTGTTTACACTTGTAACCCTCAAAAATTACACAAATTACACATTTTAAAATTTATATTATCATTGCTCCATAATTTAACCCCAACAATAGAAATACATCTTTTAATAGAAAAACATCTCCTTGTAAATATATCTCCTTTTGAAGAAGTGATGAAGCAGGACTGTGTGTTCAGGCTTTGAGTCTCCTGCCCTCTAGGCTGCAGCAGTGAGTTCACCTTCCAGCACTGAAGGCCTCAACCAGGACCTCCCTCTATCCACAGTGAGATTCATAAAACACTTCTCTGACTTCAAACGCAACATTTATTAGTTATGATCATTTTACTCTTGAATATGTACTGTATACTCTTCGTGTACAGGAATGTAAGGAATCTGGCAAACTGCAGTGTTTATGTTGCTTTACCATCAAGTTTGAATCATAATCAATGAGCTTCATCAGTCAGAGCGGGTTCAAGTTCACTCTCATAAAAATCCCTGAAAATGATCAACTATTCTATTCAAATGGAGCATGGCATCGACGGCAAGTAACAGGCAGCTAGGGTCTAATGAAAGATTCTTTCTACTTGCATTATGGGAATTGTAGGATCCATTATTTTTGGAGCTTGAGCCATAAAAGTGAAAGCTCTTGGTCTTGTGCCGCCTCAATTTCTTTTTTAAAATCAGTCCCCCAATTTTGTGACCTCTGACCAGAAGGGAAAAAAATATTCCAGACAGAGGTTCAACATTAAACCCATCAGGAAAGACCCAATGACGATGGCATGCGATATTCCTAACAGCACAAGCCTTCAGACACAGGCAGTGCTGTCACGAGGCGCTGTCTCTGTAATTGCTTGTACAGGCAGAGTGATGATGGGTGGCTTTGCTGTTGCATTGAATAGATGTTTTGACTTTAAAAGACAAAAGCATCAGTAGATCTTGTCACCATAAGGAAATCAAAATAACAAATGCTCCTGCAGATGGTGTTGCACCAAGAGCGACAAGTGTAACGTCTTGTGTCACAATGACAAGATGTGTGTTCAACAGACAAAAAACTGTGTGTCAGTGTTTCAAAAGTTAATTGGATTAAAGGTTTGTGATGAGTCAGTGGGAAGATAAAACAAAAACACCACGTGTCATTATGACTTTTGAAGCAAACAGAAACACAACAGCAAACGAGTCAATTCAACACATTTATTTATTGTCATCTCACTGTCTTTTGTGTCTTTACATGGAAACACAAGTTAGTGTGTGTTCATCTCAAAGCAGGAAGGGTACAGTATATGATGCATCAAACACAGGTCCAGTGCAAAAAAAAAGTAACAAAAGAATCATCTTTACAGCGGTACAGAAATGAAATGAAATGGCTAAGGGAAAAATATTTTCTTGAATATATATATCTATATAACATTTGGTCTTATATAATCTCAACTTCTTTGAATTTTCGACATAATTGTCATGTGTGTCTACACTGAAGATAACCTCAAAATACTGACAGTAGTTGTAAATTGTTGGCTAAATCTCAACTTTTGGAAAATATCACCCATCAACAGACAATGCTGTTCTATTAAAGATCGCTATCGGCCTATTGGTGCCGGAAGATTAATTTGGCCAATGGATAAGTGTGAGTAAACCTAAAAAGGCTATTCATCGTGATCACTGCCGCTCTCTATAACATCCTCACATCCTCTTCCTCCCTCTCCTCATCAGAACCATCAGTATCTATAAATTCTCAATCCACATGTGCAGTCTGGTGCCATCTGTTGAAACACTGGCTCCATCACTAGCTCCGTTAGTTCATTAAATAAATGGATTAATTTTTCCACCTTTTTCGTAAATTTAGTTTTTGTTTTGAAGATTATAGTATTTCAATTTTTTAAGGTCAGAGCCTCTTCAAAGTTTTTAAATTGTGGATTTGGGTTTTAAAGCAACATCCATTTTCCTTCTATTGGGTGACACCTGACTCAAGCCACCAGCCACCTCCTCTAACTCTGTTTTTCCTTCCCCTGCAGACTATCCGGTTTACTGAGCACCTGTTCACAATCTGCATCACACCCTCCCACACAAACAAACACTTTCTGCACAGCTCATCCAGACTCTTGCTCATACACAGGCTGCAAAATAACAGTTGTAGCACTTAAATCAAAACTATGTAACTTTTGAAAAAGGAATCACACATTCTCTTACAAATTAAAAGATTAATTAATAAGTGATAAAATATACTTTTGATCAAGTCAATACACTCAGGTGTTTTGTCTTTACAGCCTTACTTGTCTGGTATGACTAGTAGCTTATGGTTAGAAAACCTGAGTGCATGAGGCGGTTTACTAACTTTATTACTCTTTTTTACCTGTGCTACTGTTACGCTATGGTTAAGCTTTTACCACTATTCTGTATCTTCCACAAATTACATAATCTTGCTTTAAGGGAACATCCCACTTCAACAAACAGCAATAAATACAAAATAAAAGAGAATTGGGCCAGTTCTGTGGTTTTGCTCTTAAATTGATAAATTATGCAAAAATGTTTTTTGGAATAGAGATGGACAATGTTGTGATTCAAAGGAAAGAATCTGATCTAAGCAGCAGCAAAGAAATATGACAGAAGCATAGCACAATATGCTTCAATAAGGCTTGTAGAACATAATATCTAGACTGCATGATTGCCTTTATCATATGACTGAATTTTTGAAAGTGTGGTCTCCTTTGCCTCATGCATCACACCTCAACTCCCGCATGAAGTGACTGAATGAAAGTAAAAGTAATTCAAGAAAAATACTCTCCCACCCCCGGCCAATCTAGTGACACTATCCAAAATTTCCTGAATAAGCCTTTCAGCTGCGCTGGGGGTAGATGGAGAGACTTGACATGAGAGAATGAGAGACAATGGAAAGTTATGGAGAGAATAAGACATGAGAACAAAGAGCTGAAGAACGCTGAGAGATGCTAGAAAGGAGAAAGAAGAAGAAAAATAGGTAGAGGAGGAACTGAGCAAAAGCGGCGGAGGGAATATCAGGCAGCTGAGAGAAGAGATGTGTTGACAAAGTGAGAGAAAAAGAGTTGGTGGGAGAGCTGGAGAAGTGAGTCACAGCGAGCCTGAAACAGAATCTGTCATCACCTTAACCAGTGGAAGGTGTAGGAGGAAGTGCACTGCTCTCTCTCTCTCACTATCTCCCATTATAGATAGAGCTACAGTCAAATGTGCAGCACATGCAGGAGAAGACCGAGAAGTTAGGGCCTAATAATTCACAAAAATATCCTCACTGGATAAACCCAGATAAGCACACATCATTAGGTGTGACACTGGCTCTGTTTAGCTTGTACAAGCTAATTTCTGTGCTGTTTCTTGAAGCAGGATGAAGAAAGATACCAATTAAAAAAACACAGCATACTCATCATTGAAAATGTTAAGTGTAATGTAATGGCAGTTTTTACCATAATGGGTTTTCTGTAAAACAGTACAGAGAAAATAGACTTGTTTTCTTAACATGACAAACAACATAACCCAAAACTGCACAGTATAAGGGTGGTAAGCGGTTAAAGTCTCTCAACGCATGATAAAATCTGTAATTATAATATAATTATAATCAATTATATCAGTGGTATTCAAACAAATACATTATTGATTTTAATAGTAGGGTCTTGAAACTAAATTGTAATTAACATTCATACAAATTCTCATTTTGACAACTGGAAAATAGCAAGAATTAAATAGACCAATCAAAGAGCTGGTTAATAAAAGAACTAATTTGATTAGCTTGTTGTGCTTTCTAGCACTACATGTACTGTTGGTGGCCAGAGTGCGTTGAAAAGAAGGGCGCAGCAAATATAGGCTACTTCCTGTGCAGTGGACAGATGATAGAACCACTGTGGTAGTTCAGGACTAATTTTAGTCTGGTCTTTTGTCTATTTGGACTCTAAAGGCCAGGGTCTTGCTCAGGATCCTGACCAGACCCGACCAAATCTGATCACAAACTAGCACAGTGCCTTATTCTACATATAATATGTCCTGCTCCAGACAGAAATTATAGGATTATAGGAGTAAAATCTATTTGTGAAGGGTGAAGAGTTTTAATTGAAACGGTACAAAAGTGTGTGAAAAATAGTTCAGTCATATTGTGTATCTTGTGTGGAAACTTTACACAGCTGAGCTACTGTTAGCTTGCCAGCCAAGATTTGCTATTATCTTAGCCACATGCTACCTAGAATCTCTGTATATCATTCAAGCAAGTTAGCTTAGCTCGCATAGTTCTGAAACAATTAGCCCAAGTTAGCTAGCAGTTCTCCATCTATTAGCCTGTCAAAATTATTTTACATTCCTGTATTTCCTCACACTGTAGCCATGTCAACTAGCTATCTGGTCCGGTGTGTTGGTAGCAATTTAGCAACAAGACAGTCATTATCAGAAAGTTAATTTTCCAGTTTAAATTATTCTCACAGAACCAGCTGTAATATCTCTATCAAGACCATAATAAAAAGTGTCACTGAATATAAAACATTTGGCGCAATTTCTGATGGCCACAAAACTCAAGAGTAAATACAATATAGAGAATAATGTAACTACGTTAGCTGTTTAAGCTAAATCTGATGAAGGGAAAACATGACATAATGAAAATGAATCATAATTAAACAAATCGCAAATTCACATTTGAAGGTAAAAACCAATTATTTCTACACTTTTACCAAACCAAGCACTGTATAAAACATACATATAGGCTATTAAATATAATAACGCTAGCAACATTAACTTGCATATATTTTGTTGTGAGCTAGCAAGACACATCAGTCCTGGGAGATTTTGCAGGTTGATTTGTTGATTGGCATCTTTTGTACTATACATAATAATATTCCCCAAACTACGTGAGTTTTGCAAGATTTCTGCCAACTCTTTATCTTTCCAACAGTATTCAAACGTCAAATCAAATGGTCAGTTGTGATTTGTAAGCATCTTAAGTATCTCACACAGTTAGATTCAAGGAAGCCAAAACATCAAAGCCTTGATCTTTGGTTTCTCGCTTTGAAGCTCATTGTGTAAATGACAAAACAATAAACAAACTACATATTATACAACCGGGCATTTTTACATTTTTTCAGCCCGAGTCATTGCATCGCTTCAGATCCAGGGTCAAAAAAAATAAAATTTCTCAAGGTGACCCATCAAAAACAAGTGTGCGTCCCATGTTGGGTAGTGTAAGATACAGATCTAAAGCCAAAAGCTAGCAGTAATCTCTTCAATACTGACTGCAGAATGGCTTTAAATGTTTCCCACTTTGAAACATAGAAATCATTCCAAAGTGTGATATATTACAGAAAACATGTACAAGGTGGCCATTGTGCAAAGAGCCTGACTTATACATGTTAGGAGAAAATCAACCACAAAACAGAATCCACATGATGCATTATCTGATCTTAAACACTTCAGGTCAGGTTGGTAAACTTGAACATGAGCCTTCAAGTTCACTGTCAGTAGCTCATGTCCATATTGACAAACCTTTTAAGATCGTGGACATAACATGTATAAACTGTTTTGGGATGGAATTTCACATTCATAAGCCTATAATTCTGTACACATACATAAAGATGGCTTGTCAATTATATAATATTTAGAAAACAGTGCTTCGTACAAGATTATATACATCCTAAGCTGTACAAAACAGATGCAAGAAAACAGAAAAGCATTCATTGCCTATTAAAGTGGACTTGTGTACACCCTTTATACTGTCCACCAGAATTATGGCTCCTACTGTAGAGTAAAAGGCTCTTCAGGTCCTTATTATATAGTAATAAGACTAAAATAAAATGGTCCAGATATGTGATAGCGTGAATGCTCAAACTGAAACTGAAGAGGACTGGTCCCAAGCAATCCCAAGAGAGTATTTTTTGCTTAATTGGCAACTGATTTCAAGCTAAGCAGAGAAAGATGATGACTTACTGTTCATAATTAGGAACAGAATGACCTGATAAAAAGTCTAAGTGTGTCTAACTAACTATGTCTTGTACATTTCAATCCTGACATTTGGCCTTATGAGGTTTGCATGGACAGCATAATTGCAGCTGAGGATATGCTTAAACATTACTGATTGATGATAGGGCATTATACTGATTCACTGTGGCCCAGAAAAACTGTCACCTTGGACAAAAAAACTCATCTTTTAAGCAATAGCAACAAAATTTGGAATGATATACAGTAGCTGTCCTACTTAGCCCCGAAATGGCCCCAACCCAGTCTTTAAAATGCCCAGATGATGTCCTTGGAAGGAATGAGGTTGATGAACGGATTTTGTTCTTCTAGTTTTCACTCCGTCTGGATGAAAAGGAAGCAGTGGATCCAGTAATACGCCACAGCCAGGCAATCAAATATGAGTGAATAACTGATGTACACATAATTAGCTGAGTAACTGATACAATGGAGTCCTTTAGAAAAAAGAGAAAACTGATCCCGGAGAGATGAAGTGAATGTGGAGCAAACTGAACAGGAATGCTGTGGTCTCCAGTGCTAACAGATGAGTAGAGGAATCTTGAGGCCAGATATTTATCAGTGATCTGGTGTTCATTAGGAATCAACACAATCAGCTGAATCAGGTCATCAGTTTTGCATCCAGGTGGATTTTGATCAAACAGACCCAAAATGAGTTTTCACGGTCTGGGGCGATTTTCAGTCTCGGAAAGACCGGTAACTATGGAGATCCGGCGTGCGAAAAAGCTAATTACACATTACAGATGCTGACATTGGTCGTTGTACCTTTTAACTCTTTCATGGTCAGGTGTGGTGGTCGTGAACCTTTCCTCTTTTTCACTGAATATTAGGTCCAGATTTTTGTGCTGCTGAAGAAGCATTGTTCCAGGCCTCAGTAGTCAAGGATGGAGTTATGGGTTCAAGCATCTTTGCTGCAGCCGGAGTCATGATCAACTCACCTCATGCACATTTACATGGAAACTAGACAAGAGTAATGGATCCAAGAGTACTTAGTTGATCCTTGCAGGGATCAACTGCCAATAGAGACCAACATCAGTCAGCTCAAATAAAAAAAGGCATCACGAGGCGAACCCAGAATAATGAAGGCAGATGTCACCAGTTGATCCCACAGGTCCAGTCATTACCAGCTGAACAGCGAGTTCTGTCCAAGAGTCATGAAGTAGATCTGACTGCTGCCGCCCGACTGCACTGAGGCAAAAAACACCTGCAGGAGAGAGATCCAGGTTTAGGAACAATTTCAAATGTCCACAATGTTACTGCGGTTTCAAGTATTTGAGGTTAGATTGTTCAAGTAGTATTGGTGACATAAATCTTATGTAACATCATATTTTTGAGGTCAAAGTCCACTTACTAGGCTTCTTAGGCTACCTTCAGCCATATCTCATGGCATTCTTCAGCAGATTGTATTTTGTGATGGAGATGGTTTAGTTGTAAACACGTTTAGTATGAAACTTTGGTTACATGATAACAAACAACTCAATCTGCTAAGGACGGCATCGAGATGTGGCTGAAACTTCCAGAAGAAATCTAGTAGGTGAACCTTGAGTCAAGACTTTTTTTTGTACCAAACTATTATTTCTTAGGTCAAGAATTACTGATGGGTATTTCTTAATATTATGTATGAGATGATGTAAGCTTGCTTAGTAAAAATATTTACATATTTTAAACAATCTACTATATCCATCTAAACATGTAAGTCCAGCTTTCTTTAACTGGACATTGACTTTACAAATCTCACCACAGTGAGCTGACTATAGAACATTTAGTTTGATATTAGTACTCTTTATAACACTGTAGGTATTCTAATATTTAATGATATTTCATAATAAATGAATTGATGAAATATGTGTTTAATAACACTCCACTCGGGATTTTAGGTGCTTTTAGGTGCTTTTAGGTGGTCCTACCTTGTCATTCCTTTCACAAAGAAACTTGAGTTTTTGGGCCTTTTTGTGCATGAAAACTCCCTCCAGGTTTCCTGTGTTGGCAGACCTCAGTTCAATTGCCTTTTCTCCCCAACCCATCACCTGGTTAGACTGAAGGTAGGCTGGAGAGAGAGAGAGAAAGAGCGAGAGAGAGAGAGAGAGAGTGAGAGAGATTTATAAAGATACTTATAACTTGTAAAAAATAGGAAATGCATATATGTGTGTGGGTGTTATTGTAAATACATGTATTCTCTATTGAATTCCTTATGCTAGAATAATGACCCATCTACTGGACCAAACACACACACATCCACCCACCCACCCACCACAGACACAGGCTTACTTTAATTAGGGTACGCTTAGGTTTAGTATTGTTGCAAGGTCCTCACAAGAATAGAAGAGCAACCCCCCCCCCCCACACACACACACACAGTCTCTACCATTTTATTTTTAGCCCACCCTGTCCTAAATCTGCCTCCACAGAATCTGGTTCAGGGGTAAGTTGGTGCTCAGGACAGCTGCTGATCTAGAATCAGTTCATCAGACAGCAACAAGCCACTAGAGTGACACTGCAGTGATTTCAGAGGACAATCTACTTGTTGAAATGATTCAAATCTCAGTTTGGAAACTAGACTTGTAAAACAGGCGAAGCCACTTTGTGTTGTCACTTCATGCCTGTGGACAAATATGTGTGTTCCCTGTGTCTGTGTGTGTTTGAATGAAACTTACCGACTGATGCAGGCATCTCCCCCCACTGCAGCACTGTATCCTTGGTGATGCGGCCGTAGGTGTCGATGTAGACGCCCTCATCTTCGTAACAAACCAGAACCTCTGTTCCAGCGCTGTTTGGCAAAATGATGATGGCATGGGGATGGATGGAGCCCTGGATCTGTGAAACAAACACACAGTTTATTTAAAAGACAACCAGCAAACAAACAAGAACGAATTCAAACAGTTTAGTGTGTGTTCAATGTTTTGCGCACTGTCTGAGAGTTGACAGTACACTTGACATTCAGGTGTTATCTGACAATGTCTTTTAGTTGTAGAGCCAAAGAACAAGGTTAAATTCTTAGGACAACACCATTACAACCTACCGAAGTGAAGAAAGTTGAAGGAGAAGACTAAAGAGAATAAGCAAAAAAATGTACAAACAGAGATTTGAGAGGGGGAGATGTGAAAGATGTGGTGCTTCTTTCAAAGCTGAGACTTCATCATAAAATTATAAGTCCCTGACTTAAGCATGAAGGTCTCATTATAGGTTTCATTATAAATTACAGTAATATTGTGTAGGATGCGACCAAAGCCCCAACACAGTCAAATACTAAACCTCTAAATTATTATTATGAAAAACTTTCAGTTCAACAAATCAAAGATCTCATCCAGCAACCATTGTCTAAGTTAAACTAACAATATAGGTTAAAGTTTCTCTAATCAGTTCAGAAACATTTGTCTTACCCCAAGAGAAAAGTGTATCCACATTTATGTGAAGAGTTTAGAGACATTTCTCTAATAGTTCACAGTCATGTATCAAACTAGATCATTTATTGAACCGAGTCAGGAACATTTATTTAACCAGTTCAGAGATGCAACACGAAACCTTTTTTCAAACAACATTTTTTTTTACAGGATATCAAACCAAAAGTATTTATCTTAAAAAAAAATTAAGAAAACTGTTCATCAGCAATTACTTGCCAGAAATCTAGTTCATCAGTTTATTTCTGAAAAGAAAAGTCTTTACATCAGTATCTGCAACATGTTTCTGCCAGAAAAAAAAAACTATCAATAGCTCACATCTTAACCAACAGGGAATCCCTTCAACAACAAAGCCTCCTCCAGGAAAAAGACATAAACAGTTTGGCAGTGTGTGTGCTATGTCACACACAGTGGGTAAATATAGTTTTATGTGAGCGTGTTTCATACATTACCAGAGTGTGAGCCACCACAATCCTGAGCATCAGAACAGGCATCCACAGACGCAACGCAATCTTAATCCTCTGCCTCGGAATCAGCATCATTATATAGTTTGCAGGCAACAACGGGAGAGGCTTCTGTGTGTGCGTGTGTGTGTATCTTTAAGTGGGTGAGTTGTGCATTGTGTGTATGAAAGTGAGTGTATGTGGGTTAGGCTTGTGTTTGTGAATAGGTGAACTGCTTTTGACTGTGACGAGGTAATATAAATCAGTGATGTGTGTGAATGTGTTTCACTGTTGATGTAAGTGGGTGTGTGCGTATCGGCGGATGTGCAGGTGAGAAGAGAGGGCGTGCGTGTAAATTAGTGTGTATCAGAGTATAGCTACAAAGAAAGCCAGAGCGTCTCAAGTGTCCGCAAGAGTACTCAAAGAAAGTGAACTATGAGCATGTTGAAGTATAAGTGAGTGGGTTAAAAGTGCACGGTAACTCAGTGTGTGTGTGTATGTGTGTGTGTGTGTGTGTGTAAGTGAGTGTTGAATGTATGAGTAAGAGAGAAAAGGAAAAAAAGCAGAAAGGCTGGAGAGCTCAAATGATATCGCAGCAGCAGCGGTAGCAGTAGCAGTATAAGGCACCGGTGTAGTAGGCAGCTGTGTGCAGACTCGCTTAATATACCGGAGGAGGAGTGAGGGAAAAAAACACTCAAGAGGAGCAAGAACAGGTCAGGACACACACTCACACACACTCACACACACACACACACACACACACACACACACACACACACACACACACACACACACACACACACACACACACACACACACAGAGTTAATGATCGTGGGGCAGGAGGGATGTATTTTTAGAGCCGATTTCTCTCTTCGTATGTCTGCCTCTCTCGCTCTCTTGCTCGAACTTCCCCTTGCTTATAGAAAGTAGCACACTTTAGAGGTAGCTGGGGCAGTGTGTGTGTATGTGCACAAGAGCGAGTGAGTGTGTGAAAGAAAGCTATAAGAACATGAATGAGACAAAGTGAGAAATGTCAACAGATTGCATTGTCTCCTTTCCCCAACTTCCCATCTATCAACTATTAATGTCACAAAGGTTTATCTGCTTGATATAATCCTTATGATTTTCCCCTTTTTGACGTTATATATGGTAAGCATTATTTCAGCATTAGCAATAAATGTATTTATGTTTTGTAATTACATCTCTCTATAGTTGTTTTCATTACTGTTTGTTATATACACCTCCTACAACCATATGAGGGCTAACCAGTGCTAAAAGAAGAAGAAAAGATTGCTCCACAATGAAACATAGAGTGGCTTTTATTATGAAGCGGTCATGTGAAACCCAAGTATTAGTCAGTTTTGACAGTGGATCAGTTTTAAATATTGCAGGGAGTAATGAAAAAGTCAGAGAGTTAGCTGTTAAATGAAGAGCTGCAGGCTGCTGGGGAAACTCTGTTGTGAGGAAAACTACTTGCACCGCATGAAGCATGAAATCAGACATATGACACTTATGCCACAATGTACCTGCTCTAACAATGTTTGCTGCCCCTGAACACTGCAGTATTAGACCATTAATATTAGTATTAGACCATGCTTGTTATTACCACCAGTAATAAAATCTTCACAAAATGTTGAACATTTGTTGCCCACTCAACAACATATGTATGCACAGTATTCAACAAAATCTAGTACAGTCCACAGATGGTGGATGATGAACCAACAAGACAAATAACAACTTTATTGTAGAAATTCTGGTTATGAAACTTCACATAAGAAAACAGGCTTAAGCAAAATGATTCAAATCTTAAGTGTAAATATACCGAGCTTCAAGCTTCTCTAGCTCTTGCTAAAACATATTTAACTGGATGTTTCAGAATTTGAATGTGAACATGACTCATCAGAGGCTACAGCGAGTTTTACATGCCCACATACAGCAGAGGAGAGAAAAAAAATGACCAGCTCCATCTCTAATTGTACCAGCAGTGGGCGAATTGTTCACACTCAAAGATGCATTCATTTGCACAGACCTTTTTAGAGATGGGAAAAGCTTAAGTTAACAGACTTCCATGAGCCATTATAACTCAGGGACACTCACAAATATTACCAACCCACTAGAACAAAACACTGGAAATACATGCTATATTTAGCCACCAACTGCTGTCAGTCATTAATCATTTAGCTAAGACGTCCACTGTAATTTCCAATAAGTATAATATGTATAATAGAGATTGGGCGCTCATAATTTTTGAGGATAAACTAGAAATGTAAAGACATAAACAGTCAGTATTGGTACATCCTAGTATTATACTAGTATTTTACATATTATATAATTATAGACTGATAGTTGGCAGCTCTTGTATTAAGCCCAGTGGGACCTACTGTATGCCTCTGCTCTAGAGTGTTACATGGATCACACTCCCAAAACGCTGGATACTACATTTCCTGTAATGCAACTGTGCCTTTCTTTAGACCCTCCCTACCTTGTAATCTCCACATCCCCAGTTTGTGATGCAGGCTTTCTGTTAAATACTTGTAGTCTCTTATCCCACACTGAGACAACCTGATGTATTACTATGACATCATGAGGGTTATTCCCTCATGACTCAGAAGTCGTATATAATAGTCTAACATCTGTGAAGTGCTCTTTTAAGCATATTCCAAATCCAATCCAAAGAAACCAACAAACAACTAAATATTCAACCAAAACAAAAATAAAATAAAGTATTTATAACCATCGACAACAACCTTCTTAAGATCAGAACGTGCACAAAAGTGTCTTTTGACCGAGGCTTCACTAGATCATTTTCTACAATTTTAACCGAAAATTCAAACACCATACGAGGTCTAAAAGACCATGTCTGAACAGAAATGTGAACATGAGTCACAACATTCTGCTGTCAACTCTACCTGCCCACGGACTGAACAGAGAGAGAGAAGGAGAAAGAGAGAGAAGGGGAGAGAGGGGGAGAGAGTATGGGTGGGGGGTTGGTAAATGTAGAAAAAGAGAAGATAAAAAATGAAGAGAAAATGAGCAAATGAACAATGCCACATTGGATGACAGAGTGGGAGGAGGAAAATGAAGAGATGGATGAAAGGGGAAGAGAGAAGTGTTTGACAGCTATAGACTGAGTGGGAGGAGAGTGGAGAGAGGTGGAAAGAAGAAAACACGAGAAATAAAGGAGAGCAATGACTGACATCTGTAGACTGTGAGTGGGAGGAGAAGGAGGAGGAGGAGGAGGAGGAGAACATCCTGAGAGACTGAGAGGAGAGAGGTGAGATAGTTGAGTAGAGAGATAACAGCTGATGGATAAGAAAAAATGTATAGGGAAATAAAGATACACCGCCTATATGGGTTTTTCATATTCAGTTGCTACAAAATGTGTCCAGCCCCGATTATCTTAAACACGTCAAGCAGATGAAAAATTTATTTTAAAAAATATGTTATTTGGTGCGATAAAATGAAAAAAAAAAAAATCTACGATCCAAAAACACCCAATTCATATATATTCAAATTCATCTGAGGGACAACAATCACTGATTGAAGATATGAAGACAGGAGAGGTGAGGAGCACTCGCAACGAGGGACTTAATTTAATACTAATAATAATTTAAGCATTGATGTTATGTAATGCATGTAACTGTAATGTAACTTAAATGTTTTCAAGACAGACTAACAGGGGAAAACTTTGATTTTACTAAAACTGTGTAAACTAATTTACTTTGTTGGAAATCTTCTATGCCTCCCACTTCTGATCCTTTCATTAAAGGTTCTATATGTCACATTCAGAAAACCCTTATCATTAATGACACCGGTGGTCGATAAGTGAACTGTAGTCAGCATCCTGTCACATATGCTCGCACATTGTAGGTAGGCATGAGTGAACATCCTGGACATCGACCACAGTGATGTGAAGGCGGGTTGGAATGGGAAAGAAATTCAACCCTGTTGTTTGATAGTGCCAATTTAAGAATTACTAGGAGAAGGAGAAAGAGCAGTTACTCTTCCACTGCTGACAGACCATGTAGAGTTTTGAATGGGATTAACTGAGACTGTTTACTCTCATGTGGACCCCGAATGATAGGCACACAGAGAGGTTTGGTAAAGAGACTGACAGGTACGGCAAAGAGTTTATGGATTTTTTGACAGTCCACCAGCCCGCCAGGATTTATCCCAGTAGTCCTAATGGCCAATCTGACTACACGAGACTGAACATGACTGACCAACAACATGTTGATAGATGAGGTAACTAAAGTTACACTGTTATTATAGTTTGACTATAAACTGTATTTTAGGCTATATGTGACTCTCCAGCACTGGCAGAGCACTAAAACAGTAGAGTAGAGTAGGGGACAAGTGTATTACAGAGACTCTTACATGTGTAGGCAGGTAGAGGTCGTATGGTGTTCCAGAGTCGACATCAATGGCGTGGAAACCGGACAAGGAGCCGTAGATGACCTTTAACCTTTGACCTTCCTCCACTGTCAGGTCAACAGACAGCGGTTTTTGAGGCAGGGACCTGAACGACTGGATAGACATACACACAAAAACAAACACAAAGTCAGAAAGTCATTAAGTTAGAAGCGATAGTCTGAACACCTCAAGACCTTTATCGATACATTTTCAAAAAAAGCTGTGATACCAACAATCCAACTACAACTGCTCCATTAACAATTAATCAGCAATGACTTTGACAGTTTGAAGAGCAGTTGCATAATAATAGGCATCCTAAGATAGTCATGCTATTACCTCCGAACAAGATAGTCATGTGTATTTTTGGCCTTTTCCGAGAAGAGAGGGTTAAACTACATAGTGTGGAAAAAAAGTAGCTCAGGCCACGAAGGACATTAAGAAATGGGACACTGCTCTGCTGAGAATCTCTGTGTATGACTCTCACAGCCTGGATGTGTCATGTCTTTGTGTATGTGCAAGTATGTGCCTGTGGAAGTGACCCCATTAGATTTTCTTGTCTATGATTGTTTTGTCCCAGATTTGATGTGGTAAAGACAGAAAGGAGACGGAGGACAGTACTGTTAACCTGTTAATGCTGGTTTAACCACTTCAGAGATAATAATCAAGGACGTAACTGAAGAAATCAGACTCATAGCTAATTCTGTATGCGCTTGACAATCATTTTTATCCTCTTTATTATAGCAATTTTAGTCACCTCAGATTCTGATTATAAGGTTTAACTCAGCATTGTTAGACTTGGCTTTTATAAGTTTAAACTTTACTTTACTAAGACTGTAATTTGGCATGCTAAACACAGTATGTTAGCTTTCTGACCACAGTTTGACATGCTGGTGGAACTAGAGCAAAAGCTGAGGATTAACCAGAGACATTACGATTTATTCTCTAAGGAGAAATGTATAAATTTTACAGCTATTCATCCAGTATTCCTTGAAATATTTAAATGGTCACAGAAAACTTAGACGGACAGACAAGCGGGCCAATATGGATCGCTATCTCTAGTACTGTGCTGCTAGTGTGGCTAAAAGAACAGAGATCACTGTATATGTTATAGTATTCATATGTGGTTTATATAACCTCTACAGCCAGGGCAAAGAGCTCCTAATACCATTCTTTCACATTGATAACATAAATGACTTTATACTGTTACCAACCTTGAAGGCCATGAATTTGTGGTAGGGTTTTGGGGCCCAGGCGTACACCTCCACAGCATTCTTCAAAGCAATCACCAAGAACTTTATCTTTTCGTAACGCACTGAAAATCAAGACGGACAAAGACACCTTAACAAATCTATACCTGATAGATCTGAGGTGCATGCACAGCCCTAGATTTACAAAACATTACCTGTGGTTTCTATTTTCTAGTCTGTAGGATTAACAAAACAATGCTCTTAAATAAGCCCTCATCAGTGCATACTTACCCACTTTATAGTGCACACAGCCCTCCAGGTCACCTACTGAGGTCCAACCCTGTCTCTTCTCCACCTCTGGGTCATTATGGAGGATTTTATTCCTTAACCAGGACAGGTAGTAGAGGCGGAGTTTGTTCTTTTTACCTACAGATAGATGGAGATGGATGGTGGGATGAATGAATGATAACACTGTTTCGATGATATTCATTTCTGGGCAGTAATTATGTAAAGATGGACAGAGAGGTTTGTGCTAATTCAACTGAAGAAAACATGATATTTTAATTTGTATTGATCCAGGAAAGATTAGACTTTCATTACCAAAAACCTGCTTCATATCAATGCAACTACACACAGCTGTACAATACCCTGGAGCATTTGGGGTGCTGAAACCCTTGCTCAAGGGCAAGGAATGTTTGTAAAAAGAAGGGAATTCAAGCCCTTTAAGGCAAATTTGCGATTTTTGATTTGATTTTGAAATTGTTAAATAAGATTCATGTGACTTTACTAGAATTAATTTCTGTTTCTTTGTCCAGATTCACATATTTGTGTTGGGATTTCAGCTAAGTTCAGATAGTTCTGTAAAAACTAGCATTTGCAAGGCCAGAAGATTTGTAATTACTACACTTATTTTGAGAATCTACATCAAATAAGAAGACAGAAAAACATATGGAAAAATCCAACTTCTTTTGAAAAAAAACAAACAAACAAACAAACAAAAAAAAACGCATTCCATTCCTCACCTACATGTATTATTAGATAGTTTGAAATATCCTAGTGGCAACTTGGCGTCTCTGTTTCTGTTTGCTTCACTGTGTATGTGCAGCCACCAGGAAGTTTATGAAGGCTCAGTAGCTGACTTATTGGTGCATGTACACATTAACCTACATAACATTTACCTGATATAGTGATGAGCACATTAAGTCCCTCCAGCACATCCATCTGCTGAAACCTTCGCCTGCTGATGAGAGAGTAGACTTTCCCCTGACCACTTCGGTCCAGCAGCCACAGACCATTCTCTGTCCCCACCAAAAGATTCACACCTACAGATCAAAACAGAGACAAACCTTACACCCACAAGAAACATGCTGTGCCATGCATCCATCAATCTGTTTAACCATGGTACATCTGAATATTGGTGTGAACTCCAAAATAAACAGTACAGTATATGGAGTTGGTACACTGTCAAAAACAGGACATCATCCAGTGATGCCATGCCAGCAGCATGAACGTAGGAAAATCAGTTATATATCAGTATATCAGTTATATATGTTTCAAAGTAAAGCAATAAGTAAGCAATATTAAACTACAAACCCCATAGTCCAGCACAGAGAACCTCAGTGTTGAACTTCTTCTTGTACTTTCGGATCTCCGGAGTGTCGCTCTGTGGTCGAATGTTGGTTGGGTTCACATTCACCACAGAGCCCTTCCTGTGGTTCTCTCTCTTGATTGGGTCACCCTTACTGCCCGCTACACAAGGACAAAAAAACACAACAAAAAATTGGCATCTCTCATGACTATCACATGTACATAATAAATAATTCACTGTCTGTTCATTTATTTCAAATGAAAAAAGTGTCTCCATTTACTCACAGAAGAATATGTAAGTATGAATTTAGTACTGTAAGTTAGTGCATTGCATGTGTGAGAACATGTACTGTATACTGTGTATGTATGTTTAATTGTACTCACTAGGGCTCTGTGGTGGTGATGATATGGGGATCAATCTTGGATCGATGAAGGACAGAAAGGAGGAAGAGGAAGATGTGGAGGTGTTTTTACCAGTGGGACTGCTGACAGCCTGATGAATACAACAACAACACACCCATTTATTCCACAGCACTTTTTATTGTTTAGAGTTTTCACTCCGTACACAAAAAAGCTAATAGTAGTCATGGTTTTAGACAACTCCCATATTCTCTTACTGTATTTCACTCTCTAAAAAGAATTACAACAAATGCATTATTGCTTTTAAATTTGTATTAGGACATGGGAAAATCATGGCTGGTTACATAAGCACATTTGTGTTAAATCAAGGTCGATACATCTTCAGAGATACGAAGACGCATCATATTACTACTGATAAAAGTGAAACTAAACTGTGACACCATCTCCCTCTAGTGGAAAACAGTAACTAGTGCAACTGGTCAGAATTATTTCCTCAAACACATAAAACAGCCTTGGCAATGGACAATGTTCTCAAAGGCTTATTAACTTGCATGAAGAGTTTTCTCCAATCTATTTAGGTTCTTCAGCCTGTGATCATCAAAATGATATGTCTTGATAAGGTCAAGACAAACTTTCGAAAACATATTGATTTGAGTTAGAGGAAGAGGTATTCACTGGCAGACTGCTTTCATTTTTCAACATGTGTCAATACCTGAATCAATAACCTTCTACAATGGACTCTTTGCAGTGGATGTGTTGATTAAATAACATTATTTCTGATCACACACTCAGCAGCAGTGTGAACTGAATGATAACTGGGAGGAATGAGATATGAGATAAATCCCTAAAAAATCAATACGCTGTGTGTGTGTGTGTGTCTGTGTGTGTGTGAGTGTGTGTGTGTGTGTGTGAGTGTGTGTGTGCAGTCAGTCTGTCTACTTATGTCTGTCTGACTGTACATTATTCTTACCATACTCTCATGTAGTTCCTGATGTGTGGGACATCGAGGGGCTGTGGGCGACTGCGAGTAGCTGAGTTCACGTGCTTGCTGCTGTTGGCCCAGTGCATTATGGGTAGGACTGGAGGGAGAGGTTTTCTGCAGAAGGTCTGGCAGCAGGTAGGTATCGTCTGAACCCATCCGAGAAATCTGTACAAAACAAACACACACACACACAAAGTAGTGAGTAAGGGTGTGGAGGGGCCAAACAGCCACAACAGGAATTATTTGGAGCTGCAGGAATTCAAGCCAAAACCTCTTAGTCTATGTTTCTTTTATAGTTCAAAAGTTCCTCAATTTTAAAGGATTTAATGCAGACAGAGCACATTAATCAATAAGCAACATCAGTCGTATTCATCTATGTAGTTTAGACAGTATGGACATCACAGCCTCTAGTGTGTGTGTGTGTGTGTGTGTGTGTGTGTGTGTGTGTGTGTGTGTGTGTGTGTGCAGGGTACCTGATTAAGATTGTGGTGAGGTTGCAGGACAATGCCATCAGGTATTCCTCTGAAGAATTTCCCTTTTCCATTGGACAGGCCAGACCTTGAAGCACACAGAGTAGACAAGATTTTAGAAAAGTCTGACTTCAGGTGCAAGTATTAGTTACAAACAAGATCGATTCATCCTCAGTATCAACGGCAACAAAACCAAGTCAGATTGACTTCCGGAGATTGAATGTGGAATCAAAAGAGAAATAATTGTCAAAGATAATAAACACTAACTTTTGAACCTCACCATAAGCAGACACAAAAGCATTAAATCATAGTAATAAAACAGTTCAAGTCATCTCACATTATCAGGAATGTAAAACATAAACCAATGACAGATTTAGCTTGTCCCAGACTGATTGTCAAGGTTTAAATGGTTCAATAAATCCTAAACAGATCTATGGGTTTTTATTCATTGATTTTAACATTAATTATGTATTTAATCTTAGGTTTAGTGGTCAATAGAATTGAGCAATTAATTGAAATATGGTGCAATATCCGAACCGCAGGAGCTGCAGTTTTTTGATAAAAAGGTAAAGTTTGTCACAACATGACATAAATGAAGCATTGTGTTGCTACAGAGATGCACCGGGGTACAAATAATATTCTCCAGATGTAAGAGAACATGCTTGTTTGGTACAGACCCCAGCAAAAACGACATCATCATTTTTATATTGTATGTTTTTTCAGTGAAAATGAAATTTAAAAACTTACAATCGCAACTCCAATTGCAATATCTGTCAAAATAATCTCAATATGATTATTTGTGCGTATCATTCAGCCCTAGTGGTCAGCATAAACTTTTCCACATGTGGGCGTTCTCAGTTGATGTCGTAGGAATTTATAGGAATCTTGAGTAAGAACGGGGGGTTCTTCACACTAATTCTCCACTTGTACTAAAAATTGGTTTCACAATTGCTATGTCACAATTTCAGCTTGCAACATATGTTTCATTTTTGAAAAATTGCTCAATTCTTTGTGTGCTGGAGGACTTTGTTGTTAGAAAGGCCCTGTTTTTCGGATTAAAAGGGATACTCCGGTGAAGGTGTTTTCCACATCAGGAAAGTTTTTAACAATAAATAATCACAATGCAAGTATTATACTGATGCTGGAGTTCTCACCCGTTTCTGTCTTCGTCATCACTGCTACCGATCTCATCACTGGAAGAGGAGTATTCTGTGGCTTTGTTAAAGCGGCTGAGAGCAGATTTTACGCCCTATGTGGTGGGAGGTGAGGAACAATATGAGTAAAAAATGAGGTGAGGTGAATCAGAAGATGAAAGAAAAAGCAGAGGAAGGAGAAAATAAAAAAATAAACAATGTGTGCTTCTAAAGAAGAGCTGCTTACATGAAACAAGGTTATTTTACAATGAATGTGGAGGGCCAATTTTAGTGACATTTATGTACACATGTATTTTATAACAGTCCTGTTGCTCATTGTTATTCAAGGTCAATGAGGCTCAGCTGATTTTTCTGTAAATGTTACTGTCTGCTTGCACGGCTTCAAAATGAGATTCATTTCCTCTCCGTGAATCTTTGAGAAATTCTGCTCACACGTGTCAGAGTATGCAGGTCTACTTGTGAGCAATATGTCACAGAATTTGGTCATAGCTGTGAAAATCAATTTACCTGTGTGTGCCCACTGGTTACGTTTTCTTGTGTGTTCCTGTACTGTTGCAGACGGTGCTGTAGAAGAGGACTCTCGAGCTTGAAGTAACCTATAACACACATACACGGCCGTACTGATATTAGTAGCAGCTATACAGTGAGATATAGAAACTGGGTGGGGTTAGGCAAAACATTGATCCCCTACCAGATTGAGATCAGTGGTGAAAGGTGTCATTACCATGATCAAAAATGGCAACCTTTGCTAGCCTCTACATGGATTCATACATTGTGTAGGTTAGATTGCTTTAAAGCCAGAATCAGTAATTGTGGAGTTATTCTGAAGTGGCGGCCCTCTAGCGCCTAGAGTAGAGCCTATGGACCCCAATCAGTTTGCAGGTCGGGCTAACAGTGGACAGTTGTTGACATAGTCAGTCCAGGACTGCACTTCATCCTCCAGTATCTGGACAGCCGCTGAACCTCTGCCAGGATCTTGTTTGTTGGCTTTAGCTCATTATTTAATACAATTGTGCCAGAGCTCCTCCACACCAGGCTCTCCTAGCCGACTGTGCCTGAGCCTCAAGTTTGCACATGACACAACTCTGTATACAGATCTGTCCCCATTCCAGATCAGACTCATCAGACAGGAAGTGGCATGACTAACATCCTGGAGCAGCTATTACAGCAACACTCCCAAGACAGTAGAGTTGAAAATAGACTTCCCCCCACCCCTCCCTCCACTCACCACAATGAGCTTAAAGATGCAATAAACTTCCTCAGTGGTGAAAGGAAATGCAGAGTTTGGTGATAATTCAGTGACTTTGCTGCTTTCAGCCGCTCTCCAAATGACACATAATAATTTGATCCATTATTAACATAAAAATATTGATTAGAGCAACTTCAATGTTTTGACACATGGATTTGCTGGCCACTACATGGCAGCCTAATTATTATCATCTGTTGGTGCTGGCATGCTGTCTTCAACGGTTTTGAGCAGAAAAATGTGCCACAAAACAGGAAAAGGGACTGTTTCTCCACCACATACCTGGAGTTTGTGGCAGTGGCAAAGTGTGAGAAGGTTAGATGAAAAGAAGCAACATCTTTGTTGCACAAAGCAAATGGATTTCTATGGGAAATACAGTCAAAATTTTGACAAACATCGGGACTAGCAGGACAGACAGAAGATACCAATCCCTTGTCCCCCTAATCAAATATTAATGCCACAAATAGGCTTACCTAGAACAACATGGTTCAAAGAGGAAAGCAGCCTTTTCTCAGTTGCAGATAAAAGGCTTTTTTACCACAGTGAAGCTGTTTGAGTCTCTTGGAGAATCTCTGATCTGTGGCACCAAACAAAGACGACTGAGGCCAGCAGCACGAGCAGCTGAGTGGGAGGCATCAAAAGTTGTTCCCTCATAACTACACACAGAGGGCAACTTTAAAAACATATTCTCCCCCATCCTCCTCTCTTCTCTCCACTTCTCCCAGTAGGTGCAGGAGCAGTGTTCTTGCTGCCACACACAGAGGCCACAGAGAGAAGAGCTTTGAAATAGATGAGAGATTTCTTCTCTCTCTAGACACACAGGTAGAGAGGACAAGCTTTGAACGCATTCCCCTGTGCTCTCGCTACTTTACAGTAAGTGTATGCACTGTGTGTGAAGTTCGTGGTGAGGCTGGTATAACTATATGCGTCTGTTTATGAGGATATTGTTAAGGGTGTGGGGTGTATGTGTGCTCGCTTGGCATATGTGTGTTTGGGGTGTGTGGGCTGAACCAGAAACCAGTGACTTAACGGTTAAGTTCACACACATGATGATGCATGAGAGAAAATGAGGTGTGAACTACAGCAGACAATAACAGCGCTCATACCAGTCAAAAACAAAATAAACCAATTAAATAGCCAAATAATCATCACAAAAATAACATTTACACTATTACTTTTGGATCTTGACCGTTATATTTTTTGGACAGTTTTTGCCTTTATTACAATAGCTGCAGTGAGAGACAGAGAGGGGCCTCGGGCTGGACTAAGCCTTAATGGTATGCGCTCTACCAGGTGAGCCACCATGGTGCCCCCATCTTGACTCTTTTATCATAGAGAGGAAGAACATATATGCTAGGACTACCATCATTAGTGTCTGTATAGTAAGAGTTGATGTCAGTTTCATTTTGACAATGACAATGTAGTTTCTCATTCTTGTCATGCAGCAACTGAAACAGAGAAATAAGTCTCTAATCCTGAGAGCCAGCTCATTAAAACAAAGTCAGACTAAGGTTATTTGGAAGACCACGAGATGACACAACTATCCACTTTTCACCAGAGTTGAAGAACCTGTACTTTTTGGGGTTTGGGTTTACTGTTCATACAGAACTTCATACAACAGCTTGCGACTAAGCATAGAAAGGTGATGAGTTAAGGCTGCACAGACCTGGGTGGTTGCTGCTGGTGGAGGAGCATCCATGAGACACAGACCTTCCACTTTTGTCTGCCGGAGACACTGGACTGCCACTAGATGGAGAGAGAGAGACACACACAGACAGAGTGACACAAGTGGAGTGTAAAAAACTAGAGGTAAAGTATGAATTAAAATTGCGATCAAGACTACTATACATTATAATCTTGAGTATATCCTTCACGCTTCGTTTACTTCACAATGACCCAATTTCCTCACCATTAGTTTCATCTAATCGAAAATAATCATCTCAGCTAAACTAATCTGATTTACCCATGACCAATTGTTCTCTAATGGTATATGCCAGTATGCTGAGTTGCTGTGTGATATAAACTCTCACAATAACTAAGGCTCACTCTGGCTGAAAAAATGGCTTTGCTCACAGCATGGTTACAATACCGGAGATTACAAACACTAATGTTATTTAGGCATCTCTCGTTTCCAATTTAAACACAGACAGATGTTTTATATCTTAATAATGCTAAGCTATGTTTACATAATTGCAGCTTTAGGCTACCAGCTCAGCTGATGCTCAGTTTGAATTTGCTTGTGCGTGCTCCCAAAGTCAAGAAGCACCTCACTGTTGTAACACTGTTCTGTAGTTAAGTATATAAAACATAGAGTGTGAGCCAGTGGAAATAATGTGTTATGAGCAGACCAACTGGTAGGAGATGTAAAACTACAGGAGTGCAATGAGGTTTATTTGAATACACCGATGAACCAAAGCTCAACAATGTTGTAAGTGAAACTAATTATTGTCAAACTCCAATAAAGACTGCATTAAACATCATGTGTACAGATCTTTTGATATTGTCCATTTACACAAAAGACAGAGGAGAAACATAACAACATCTGGCTCTTTAGCTGCTAAATTCTCCACTACGTGCACCAGCTAGTTGCTAATTTTATCTGTTTGTCATTTAGTGCTGGACAGGGAGTGTATTTTGGGTTCATCAGAATTTATCAGCTGCCTGTGTGGCTGGAAACGAGACTGATGAGAGCAGTGACGAAAACTGTTTAGTTGTGGGCTGGGAAACTAAAGCAATGATAAGACACTAAAAAGCTGCACAGAGCTGAAAGGAACTGCACAGTTGAGTGATAATTCTATGTAGGTTTGATTCTGTAAGTGACACTTTTCACATTGTTAATTAAGAGCAGTTTTAAGGATCAAACGTTGTTCATGACATACAGCAACACCGAATCACTGCTTATGTAAATACAAAACATGAAGCAACTTTCATAAAAGTCACATGCCTCTGTGTAATGTGTGTAGTGTGAATGCAGTGTAGTCGTGCTGTACCTCGAAGCGGCCCTCTTGTGCCCCATCACCAGCTCTCTACAGTAAAACTTAGAGGTAGTGCGTTCTGGGACCTGGAGGGCAGAAGAACAATCAATTTATCAGACTCCATAAAAACATGTGGTTAATGAATACACAAAGATGGCAGTCTCCTGGTGGTCCTCATTGCTTGTTTTGCTTTTCATAGGTTTGAAAGAGCTCTTTACAAGGATTTCGTGTCTAGCCCAGCAGGGTCTTGGCTAATTATAGGGAGGTTTCTGCAGTTATGAAAGCTTTATGTACAACAACTTCTACAGTGCCTGAAAAACTGTAGAGTGAAGTGCAATAAAATCTTTAATAACCCATTGGGAGATATTTATTACTGGGAATCTAATGAGACCATTTGGCTTCACTATTTTTTAACATGGCTTAACATTTCAGGGTTAATGCTTTAAGCTCTTCAAAACCACATCCGAATCTTACATATGGTGTGGAAATATCATCTGAGTCAGGGAGATTTCTCAAACTTGTTCAACAGCCTTGCATTCATGATATGGCAAGAGCTGCATTGTGAAATCAATACTGCAGTATATCACTCAGTGTAAGTACTGCAAAGTATTGTTTTGTTTAAAGTGGATTTTTTCAACATCTGATTCTTCTCAAACTCTGCTCTACCAACCAGCTGGTGACCTTTCAACCTCTCATCTCCTGGGTCATATGACCCAGTTTCAGAGAGGAAGACACACCCAGCAGAGCAGGAAGAGAGATGCAGGAATACCTATCATCCTCTGACAAGTTGCCCACATCCTGCATCTGGCTTCCCTGAACACACGCACGCACGCACGCACGCACGCACGCACGCACGCACGCACACACGCACGCACACACACACCAATGCCGATCTTGGTGTTTGTTGTTTCCTGTCTTCTATTGCAGCACACACACACAAAGCTTATGGGGATGTTTTTAAAATCAGTGCTTGTTGAGGACTACAAAACAAAATCAGCAAAGCTTGAGCATAAGACTTTTCAGTTGAACTCAGACAGCTGTAAAAATCCTAAAATGCATGGCAGTGCTATATCACATTAGTGTCAGATTCTATTGTGCTGTAAGCCTCCCAAAAGTTAACCATTTTAAAGTCCACTCCAGTGTCTTAGCATAGCAGCTCCAGTCACCACAGTGCAGTCACAGGAGAGAGTAGTGAGTTATTAACTGCTCTATCGACTCCATATGGCCTCATGTTAGCTCAACAACATAGCAAACAGACAGCTTTACTGGGCTCCCCTCCCCTCCCTCCTCTTCTGTAGTTATTAGTTGTTCTATCAACTCCATATGGTGTTCAGTTTGTAAATACACCTAACAGCATATTCCCTTAGTTAAATACCTAGTAGGCGAGCAATGACACTAGAGGGAGAGAGAAAGTGAATGATCTGTTTTGGAGCATGCGAGGTGCATTTATGATTATCACAGAGATAGTTTTAGTTAGAGGCACTTCATAACAAGCCTCGAGGCAAAACACAAACATACATCAACAGTATGCCAACCCCGTGCTGTGTGCACCACTTCCTTAGCTTGGTATGACCAGAATACAGGATGCTTAACACACATAAACACTTTATGCCAAACTCATGTGATGCAGGATACATCCTGTGACTGGCATGACAATAACAAGAAGTTCCCTTTTCAGTGGCAACCAGGAAAACAAAAACACACATCAGATAGCCATCTAACCTGCCGCCCTGTAACCTAATGTGTTACCCAGGAGTTAAAGGGACCGTTGTTACTCACTTTAGGTGGTGTGCAGTCCCAGAAGACATCATCAGTTTGGGACATGGAGGAAAATGGAGACAACGGGGAAATGGCCATATCTGACATAGAGCTGCTGTGAGGGGCGTCTCGACTAGAGCGTAGATTGGCATTCTGGGAAAATAAAATGGTTATTTGTGACGGTAAATCACAAGTATGCATTAACGCTTTTAGCCACATCACCAAAATAACTACAATGCCAGGAAAGATGAATCTAGAGTATTTTTGAGTAGTAATAATAAAAATGGAAATGTGCCCAAAAATGGGACGATGGGAAAAAACATTCTCACTCAAGGGGGAATAGAAAAGAATAGAATACATGGATACAAAAAGACCTTAAAATATAGGAAAAAATAAACAGCACAAAGTAGAAGTAAGCAGGGTACAATATTCAAAGTAAAGAGTGTGTAGGTGTGATGTGATATGATCGATATACCTGGTTGATGTGAGCTCTCTGCATGGCTGGGGTACAAGGACTAGAGCTGCTGCCAGAGCCCAGCCTGGAGTGCATCTGGCTGGGAAGACCAGCAGCCAAAAGCAGCCTGGCTAAGTTTGATTCCTGGAAGTCCATCTAAAACAGTAAACGCATGTAAGACTAATTGATTTGTGTGTGCTATGAATGTGTGTGTGTGTTGACCCATATAAAGATTGACTTAGTCCTACACTTAGTCAGGTAATCTAAATGGGATCAACACTGGCATTCAGTACAAAACATACTCAACCACATCTAAAGACATAATAGCACGTTACATATAAATGCATCAACACAAGCAGGAAACACATTTATATCAACCATAAAAAGCAAAAATTACTACATTAGCTGAAATACATAAATTCTGGTGACTCTGAGAGACAATGAACAATAAACTGACATAGAAATGACAAATTAGATTGATGTTTTCCATTTAGAACATTTAAGATTTTAATATCCCAAATAGCAGATGTTCAATTCATCAACATAACTTAGGGGATATATCCTGTATAAGCTTTCTACTCGCATGTTACAATACACTGAAGCATATATAATCTTGAATAAAGTTAGTCTTAATCGTGACAAAGTGTGCATGAAACTGGGATGATTAATGTGATGCAGCCATGACACATCACTTTTGGAGGCCTGCCACTGGCTGGTTGAATGCTTTAGGGAGGGCATTGTGGGTAGACATGATTGCAGTCCTTATTTTACAACACTTAGCAGTAGTCCCTGCAGTATGCACTTAAGAATGACACTTCAAAACGGTTTTAAAAGTTACTTTCAACTACTTTATACAAAACTTACAAAAGTAACTTTTATGTCAGAGTTTAGTAAAGATTTCAAAGAAGTTTGTATACATACTGGCCCAGACAGGAGAAGAGTGCCACTAATCCGTCAGTGACACATAAACAAACATTACATTTCAGTGTTTTTCTTAGAAGTTCCCATTTCCAGATGTACTGCACAATTGTTGCTACGTCAGACATCAACATCCCCAGCATCAAAAGTTTTGTGTAATTTCTAGCGCTTTGATGCAGATCATCTGAAAGCAGCTTAAATTTCTCTAAAGAGAAGTTAGAAGGGAGACGAAAGATGGGAAATAACCATCTGGAGTCAGCATAATCTGTTTGTTGAACTTAACACAGTTCTGAAGCAAGTCTTGTGAAAAAAAAACAAAAAAACAAAAAAACAAAACAAAAAATTGGCTGTTTGAAAATGTCAAGAAATGACACCTTGGGTCTGTTTCCTGTTCATGTTCCCTTTGTGGTTTAGCTACTGTTCTAAGAATAAAGGGTATTAACCTCATGTTATCACCCTACACAAAAAGTCAGCAGATGACATGTTGCTTTTATATGGAGAAAAAAAAAAACATGAACTCGATAAAATTGTTACACCTTCACAGCAAAAACTGTTTCAGTTGAGTTTTCAGAGTTGTCACACAGGTAGAAAAATCCTTGCTGGCAGACTTTGACCTCACTTGCTCCTTGACTTATTCGTTTGAACTGTGTCTACCAAACATTTTGCTTACTTTCTCCAGACTTTTGTGACCTTTAGATGAAAGAGGTCTATTACCTGAGATAAGGATGACAGGGACAAACCAAGTAAGGAAAAATTATGGGAAGGTGAGAGAGGGGGCAAAAGGAACTAAACACGCTAAAACTGACTGAGAAAAAAAACTTAGTGAAGGTGAGGAGGGTGAGATAGAGTGAAAGAAGTGGGATGTCAGGGCGATTAAAGGTGCTAGATGGCTGAGGAAGGCGGGGTTTTACCACTGAGCGCTGGCTGTTTGCAGGGCGACTGGGCGAGGAAGCAGACACAGCAGCAGCAGTAGCAGCAGTAGCAGCTGTGTTCCCACTATTAGGTGTTAGCCTCTGGACAGCTGCCACAGGCTTTTCCCTCTGCCTCTGTCTCTCTCTTTCCCTCTCTCTCTCCCTGTGTCTGTGGTCGTGCTGCAGCGACAGGAGCTGGGTTTGGTCCTTGGGCAGGGTGCGGTGGGATCTTCTGCCCGATGAGGGCTGCTGATGCTGGGCCAGAGGCTGAGGCTGGGAGTGCTGGGTCTTATTCTGAAGCAGCTGCTTTGGAGCCACGGCTCTCTATGTAGCACACATGAAAAGCACATATAGAAACAAACCTTGGAGCCTGGGAGTGCTCATATGAAATAAGATACATGTATAGTGTATTGTGAGGTTATAGTGTACAAGGTTTACAACTTATTGAAGAGGGAACCTTGAGACATGTTATTGGAAATCCAAAAATATAATACCTGTAACCTGTAACCTGTGATTAGTCAACTTAAGACAATTTTAGACTTTTTTTCAGGATGTTGGGGCATATGATGATGTATCTCATAAGTCACAGTCTGGAGTTACATCCTCAATCTTTGAATCGACAAATCCACAAGACAATGGCCTATTATTACAACATGAGTGTCATTTTCAACTGATTTCTGCCCCTCTTGCAAGATTATTGATTAGCTTTAATTACAATTTTGAGTTAACTTTTTTATAAACAACATACTTAAAATACTTAGATTGGCATTTTGATATGGTAAAATGACATAATAGCTTAATTAAAACTACAGGGAGTAAGTTGTTATGATATTTCAGATGTTCCAATTAAGAAACAACTGGCAGTGATAATAAGAGTGAATATAAGTGTACATGAAACAAGTTTTCAACGCAAATCAATTGAATGTTGTGCTACATGCTACAAAACAGTCACTCCCAGGTTCTGTAGACACTGACAAGACAAGCCATAGCTGTTGCATGAAAACCTCATCAAGCATATTATCTAGCGGGTTGTGTCATACATACAAAAAAGCACACACAGTAAGAAAGAAGCTGATCTGATTCACATCTTTAGTGTAAAAACATTAGACAAACACATGAAAACACTCATAAAATAGCAATCAGTCTAGTTCTGGCACAGAAGCTTGGACATATGACAGCAGGTGGCTCTCTGACTTGAGAATCTGTTTTGCAAGCACTACTTCTTCCAGAGTAAATATGATAAAAGCGCAAGTAAAGAGCCACTAGTGTCATATACAGATCTCCCAGCTGATTTCCTTGAAGTTACAGCCATCTTACAATGTCTTTTCTTAAACAGAACCAATAGACATTTTATATTGGCTGGAGGACAAAGATTTTTCACAGACGCTGCTTTTCTGTACATTAGTCATAAAATTACTTGAAGTTTGTGCAGACAGAGCTCTGGGTTTGCCTACACAGCTCAGCAAGGATGAATATAAAATGACACAGTGGGCCTTTGGGTTTGATTTGCGCTGAGGCTAGCCACATAAAAATAAACGAAAGATATATAAATACATGAAACCGTATTGCAGTGTATTATACAGATGATTACTCTGGGCAGCAGTGTGAAGACTATACTACTTTCACACATCCAGGAAGTTCACACAGAAACACACACACACACACACACACACACTCCAACACACTGCTGTGTAATTCCTCCCAAACCAGTAGAACAGAGAAATAGTGGTGGGCCACCCTGGCCCATGATGGCTTCTTGAGGTTAGATTTATATGATTGCTCCCATACAAGGGAAACCACCTGAGATTTAATGATGTTTTCTTGAGAATGAGAGGACAATATAGGATACACACTGAACTGAAATACTCAACATATCTTTCCACCAACACATTAGCTTTCTTTGTGCAAGCTCTATTTTCACAGCAATGTTAGGAAACAATCCATGTCAGCGATCTGCACTTCACCACCCAACTCACCACTGAAGAACGTTTACTGAATAAAAATGCCAAGCTGCTCTATTTAGTAACTTGCACCACAATTAAGAGGCTAAACTCTGAAAGTGAAATATGGTCTAATTCCCAAATTAGTCCATCTCATATTTAATGTAAGCATAAATCCTATAATTCTTATCTCATGTGAAACACACTGATATTAAAGCTGATAAATATTTATATAATGTACATAAAAATCTATGATGGCAGTTCAAATTAAAACGAGGAGCCAAATGTCAAATGTCTCCATGAGCAGTGCCAGTGAAAGGATGTCTTAATAATGTATGGTGTGTTGACAACTGAAACAGCTCAATATGTCAAAGCTGGCATGACTAACCTCAGGAAAGTCTAACAGACTTCAGATTCAGTTAACTATGTTAAGTTACAGTAGCTGACCAGCATTACTGCATATCTAAGACAAAAATAAGAGGAATTAATTGGCATCTTAAAAAAATCTTTGTGATTGTCACAGTTGCACAAAAATATACCCATGTATCCATCTGTGTATCTATGACTATCAAGCAAAAGTCAAGAGCTGCCCTCATTATACAGAGAATCACAACAACATCAGGGCAGAGAGATGAGGGACTTTCGGGGGCAGATAAGAGAAACAGAGAAAGTGTTTTCAGAAATAGAGAAGTAACAGTGAGAGTGAAAAGAGACATGTTTGGTGAATTTGTATTTCTGAAACCCCTACTGAGATTAGATAGTAACATTTTAGAAGAAAAACTGAGAGACAAGTTGAAAGAGAGATTCTAAAAATGAAAGAGGCTCCACGCTGTGAACGATGGAGGGAGTGATGAAAAGAGGAAACAAGTGAGGAAAGGACGGAGGAGGCATGCTGGGATCAGCAGAGATAGAAGAGAGGGGGAGAGATGGAGAGGGAAGGCTTTAAAACAACAGTGATGCCATGCTGTGATAAGCATTGGCCTAAAAGCTTGTCAGAATGTGACACTAGTGGTGCAGTGCAGTGTATTTCACTGTTGTCTCTCTGAATCCTTAATGGAGTCTCACACAAATATAGAATTAAAACCTCTAATCTTTCACTGTCTCTGTGATTGAGAACTTCAAAATGATGAAGCTCCACCAGTGGTGTCAGGCAGTGCATGAATGAAACAAGGTGTCTTTCTTTATCATTTTAATGCACATGCAGCATAAATCACAGACACTCCGGGACAATTTATTATGTTTTCCCTTTTTGTTCTCTTCCTTACTCCTCTCCTGTGTCTTATAATCCTCCTCTTTACCTGCCCTCAGTCTTTCAATTCTTCCTTCTTACTAGGAGCCACACACAAACAACACCAGTTAACTACTCTCTCTCTCTCTCTCTCTCTCTCTCAGCACAATATTTTTCCAATAATCCATTAATCATTTGATCGGTAAAATATCTGAAAATACTGAAAAATGTCCATCACAAAGTCCTACAGCTCCAGGTGATGTCTGTCAATGTCCAACAGTCCAAAACCTGAAATACTGAGCGTCTTATCATTTAAGACAAAAGAAAATGGAACAAGAGAGAGTTTGTCTATCAACTAATCATCCTTTTATTGATTAACCTTTTGTAGCTGTACGTCTTTTTCTCACTCATTAAGACATTGCAAGACAATGCAAACACATATGATATCTACACACAAGCACACACTGTTCCTTGATAAGTTAGTGAAAAAAACAGAAAAACAGGCAACAAATGATGTCGGAAATTAGGTCAAGAAAGAAAGAGAGAAATAAATCTAATCCTCCTGATAGGTTTGCTATTTGCTGACACGAGCCCACTTCACACATCGAAACTCCCACACAATGTGTCGTCACTGACCAAAGCTATCAGCCACAGTAAGAGTCAGCCTACGTTCACAGGAAATTCCACCTGCTCTCATTCATATTGAAGACTAAGGAGTTAATGACAAGTAAGTGAAAAGATATAGAGGGAAGGTTTGTTACCTGCTCTGCTGTGGAGTCCAGAGGCCTTACTGACACATCGGCACTCCGCTTTCTGCCTGCCTGGTCCTGCTCAGCACACACACACACACACACACACACACACACACACACACACACACACGCACGCACGCACACGCACACGCACAGACACACACACACATGGTTGAAAACAGACAGCCACATGGTTGAATAAAGATGCCCAGTATATTCCCAGTATATTTGATGACTTTGATGACTTTTTATTTAACCCTAACAACTAAATTTCACCTTAATTCAAACTCCACAATCATCGTGTTGCACATTTTTGTATTGTTGCAAGGTCCTCACAAGAATAGATAAGCAAATACACACACCAACCAACCCCCCCCCCCCCCCCCCACACACACACACACACACACACAAATGCAGGCTTACTTTAATTAGGGTACGCTAAGGTCTTGAGCAGAATTCTGAGAGGTGGGAGCTAAAATATTCAGAGTGTGCAAGATGGCATGGAGCTTTTAGCCAACGCCCTCAACTAAATATTTCATTATGACCTCTTTTTGAATTTCTCCTGGAGAATCCTTCTATGTCCAAATAGTCCAAACTGGATATTTTTACATTTACAATTTTTAATTGAACCTACTCTATTTAAATATTTGCAGTGGTTGCACCATTGCCTTTAAATTGTGTTTACTCAGCTTGGATCTGAAGGGTCACATTCAACAGTGCTTAAGCTGAAATGGCAGCTTAACTGGATGACAAAGCTTCCATGGTGAAATTTGTACATTTGATAACAAACTAATGTGCCCTCTGAGAAATAATCCATGGTTACCATTCACGCAGAAGCTCAACCCAGAACTGAAACGAATAATAGTCAATGTACTTGACATCTATCACCTGATAAATGTTGCACAGTGAGTAAAGGGACCCACAATCATCATCTTGCATGCAACAAACAAACAAATACTCAATTCAAATATGTCACAAAACCCTCTTGGCAACAGGAAGGCACATGGTTTGTGGGTAATGTGGTCTGTCAGTGCTGCAGGTGTAAAACGGATTATCATAGTTTCCATCATGGCCTCCAAGTGTTTTAATTAAACAAAATTATCTTTTTAATTATTCATGTGAATGCTATGTACATGTTTTATTATGTAACTAATTTGTAGCAATTAAATGTTGTCAGCAATGTTTGTAGGAATGCAAGCATTTTAATTGGACTTCTGTCTATTGTTATTATAATTAATAATAATCTCTACATACAACAGCACAACAGCAAATCTTGTTATAAAGGTCATATAGCAACACTATGTCATTACAAATGATCTAGCATGACATTGACCCCTGAGAAAAAAATCTTTACCGAGAAGTCAGGATGTCATTCTACAGATGAAAGATACCAGATACCCCCCCCTCTGCTTCACATTACTCTTACTTCTATATAGGAGAACAATTGACACCAAAGTCATCATAAATGGGCTACAGGTGGTTTTTCTTTTTGTTTTATCCAGAGAACAGTTTTGCTGAACATGTATGTATTTTAGTCCCCTGCCTAAATTCAAGCAGTCACACAAACCTGCACCGGGGGTTGCCCACTATAACCACAGTGTGCTACATTTTGCCACTGAGCTGCTCTGCTGGTGCAGCTACGGGTTCAGAGCACCCACAGAAAAACAAGTACAAGCAATACAGTAATTTACAAGCACACTAGCAGTTCTGTGAAGGTGTACTTGGGCACAGTGGTACTTTATGTCAGCATGCTAACATGCTCCAAATATTGATGCTAACATGTTGATATTGATCAGGTATAATGTTTAGCCTTTTGCATCATTTTAGTTTTGTGTGTTAGCATGCTAACATTTCGTAATTAGCCTTAAACACAACATAAACCCATGTAATGGAGGAATTAAAAGTTCAAACATGATGATGGTGGTAGATGGAAATCATTCAGAGGGGGGGATCTCAAATTTCACAGCAATCCATCCGATGTTTGAGACATTACACTCAAAACCACAAATGTCTCCACAAATAATCTGCTGGTGGTGCAAGATGAAAAGTCAGAGGATATCTGTGCCAAATTTCATGATAATTTCAAGATACTTCACTAAAAATCACAAATGCCAGTCTTGTGGTGGTGCTGAAGGAAAAGTCAGGGGATCACTTAAGTCTTTAAACTTCAACCTCTGGGGACCACGAATATCTGTACAAAACTGCACGCCAATCCATCCAGTAGTATTTCAGCATGAGCTTAAGTGGCAGTCTGACTGATTGACATTGCCATTACTAGAGCCATGCCGCGACTGTCACTACAAAATTGAGCTCCTTTTAAGTATTCATTTCATAATTAAAAAGAAGCATAGAATAAGAAGGACATCCTAGTACAGTTAGAACGAGTAAACAAGTTGTTGACAAGTTATAACCAGTAAACCTTGGGTAGTTTTACTCATGTGACTGTAACAACAGAGCTAACAAACAATGCAAACCAAGCAAAAACAGTCCCTCATCTTAAAACTGTGCACGAGCTGTGGAGTTGCAGGTTTACAGTAGCAGGCAGTTCAAACTGTGACTTACCCTCTCATCCATTTTTTTTCTACACTCACTTATCCTGTTGAGGGTTGCAAGGGGCTAGAGCCTATCCCAGCATGCATTGCGGCAGGGTATACTGTAGACAGGCTGTCAGTCTGTCAAAGGGAAGTCACACTACCTGCTTTCTCAAATGATAACAAAGTGGTTAAGGGAGTAGTTGTCTTTAACACAGTTGTGTAATTTCATCCTTGATCATTTACTTTCACCCCACCAGTGTGGAGATCCAAACCCGACAGTCATTCACCCACTTCTCTAATCTTTAAGCCACTAACTCACCACTGAGACACATGCGATTCTTGCCAAATCAATCAATGTGTGAACCGATTGGAAGGAATCAGTCCAGAACCTGCACCCAGGCAAGCTCTTCGTCTGACAAAATACAAGACATCACATCACACACTCACTGAATCTGTCACATAATTAAATGCAAATGCATTAGAACTTAATGAAGCATCAGATAGATTCATTACGCAAGCTGAACTTAATGGCTTTGGGGCAATCTGTGTAATCAGAATCTAACACGTACAGATAGCTCTCTGCCACACACACGTTAGCACACCAAATAGACATATAATATAACTAGACAGATATTAATAGCATTGAAACACAGTGTCTTCTACATGAAGAAATCACAGTCACTAACCTGCTCCATGGTGTTAATATACGCCTATTGAAACTCACTGGTGTGTGGGATAGATTCATCAAGCATGTGTTAAAATTAATGACTAAAAAATGAATCAGCAATAGTAGAGAGAGCTATGAGACACTTCACCCTATCTCAGCATACTTGGTCAAAAGCATGCATACAGACACACACACCCACATAACTGTTAAAGAGTTGCTCTGTAAGTCTACTGCTATCACAAAACAATGATTTTTAATTTCCCACAAATTTGTGTGATGTTCCAAATTAAGTTTTCACAAGGTAAAAGACTGAAAGAATTGAAATACCCTCCTCTAACTGGAAACTGAAGCACTGAAGCAAAAAAAAAAAAAAGATTTCTAACCTTTTTCAAACCCTAACTCATGTACAAAACCTATCAAGTACTGTGAAATGGCCTCTATATATGACCTCTTCTTTCATATACAGTATATATTTAATTCTGAAAGCTGGCATTCAAGCTGAACCTGCATATCGACAGTCCTGTCTGATGTAAAATTTATCAAAATGAGAGGAAAGCTCCTGTTTCTTGTTTTGAGATGGGATTAAAGTTGATGGAAATGTGTCTGAAAGGTCACTTTCCATCTCATAAAGTTTTGTTTTGAACAGTTCATAATTATAAAATGCACAGATATGACCTTAAAGAACTCTTCTGGTCTGCCGCATTCAGAAGAGAATGTTTTTATCACCTGGGTACAAAGGCTGACAGGTGCAACCACTACATCAGTGGAGCGTGCATCAAACACAACTTGAGCTTACAAGTTCATGTGTTAACTCACTGCAGCATCAAATATGGATAAAGCCTAAGACACACACAAACAAGCAGCCTGAGTGTTGCACACACTCACCTGCCACAAGGTATTCCTTCTGGAGGATAACTTGGGTTTTTGGTTAAATAAATTAGATTCAAACACATTTATTGAGGCCTCCTATCATTCATATATGACATGCTGTTTCAGTTCTCATGTCAGCTTTTATAAGTGTTATCAAGTAGCTGTAGTACAGTCAGTCCGTTGTGAAGAAACTGGATCAATATTTTTCTATGAACAATGGATGTGTAATGGGAAATGGGACACCACCAGTCATTAGCTAACTCTCAGTTACCCTTAGTGTCTTTTGGCAACATTGTTTTGGTTTTTATGACCTGCAACATAACAGTTTGTTTCACTCTGACAGCCCTCATCAGCATCATTTCCATCACAGTGAGCGGCTTACCCTGCACCAAACAGCAGATAGGCACAGTTAGCAGCTAGCTTGTAAACAAAGAGGAGCATTTAGCAGCTGAGGAACCAGATATTTCCCTCAGGAGCTTTTGAAATGCGAAAACAAATGCAACTCCAAATGAATGATAATGATGCTGCATGTCTGCTGTATGTGCAAATAGGTAACTAAAAAATTCATGCTGTCCTGAAGAATCAGTACTTTACGAAACTGTTTTTGTTTACATTATGTTTAGCATGCTAACATGCTAACATTTGATGCAAGTATTTGAGGTGTCTTCATAAACCAAAGTGTTAAACAACTGGAGATTCTGACTAATGGTAGTAGAAAAATGTCAGGTGATCACCATCTACCAGATTTGTCTTCCCCTGGACCAAAGTGCTGGACCGACTGACTGACAGGCGGAGCAGCAGCACCATCCAGAGCATCTAATGTGGCTATAAATATGGCCACATTTCTGAACCTCTCTTTATTTCCAATAATATTCAAGGCAGTGGAATTCAATATACAAAAACCTAAAGGTTAGGATTACTGCATTACTAAGTCATCGCCATGTCTAGTCACAGCCAATACAAAGTCAGGAGTTCATCTTTACCGCTCTCCTGTCACTCCTCCTGTTTCTCTCATCCAGTAAGACTCTGTTGTCATGGAGATCAGACTCCTCCCCAAGAGAGATTTCTTGAAGCTCCGCCCACTGAAAGGCACAGTCCGTCAGCTGCCGTCTCTGTTGCTGGGAACAGGAAACAAATTAACAGTAATAAAAAAAACAAACCAAACTGCACAAAAACATAAGTCAAGACAAGGTAATTTACATTAACATGAACTACAACAAAGGGATTTTAGCATATAGCTGATATTCTTAAGAAATACAACCTGCAATGGAAAATAAGTTCAATTCAACAGTTATAGTTAGTGTGGGTCACATAATATTCATACAAATAAGAGTTTCCAAGGCTGAAGATGTTGTCAGAGCAGTTAGTGAGCAGAGTGAGGATGTGACTTAGCAAGTGGAACGTGACAGTGACATTTTTCTTGTAAAGATGTAGTTGATAAATGTTTGTGAATTTCGAAAAAAATGTTCTCTTCCTCTGAAAATGTTTTATTTTATTTTTAATTTTATCTGACCTACTTACTGACCTATAAGTGCTGAGTCAATACAGAAGAAAAAGCATAAGCATAAGCAGTACTTACATCCTCTAACTTTTGCCGTTGCTCATGTTGTTGTTGGATCCTCTTCTGCCTGTCAGCCACTAACTGCTGCTTGTATCGTTCCTGCTCCACCAACTGCTGCCTCTGCTGCTGTAAAGCCTGGACATAAATTAACATACGATTCGATTTTTTTATTGTATTATAAAAATTATACAGTAGGCTTTTCACACTTTGATTTAAGGGTTAAATATATTGAGTTAACCCAAGACCAATGGTGAATTTCTGAGAGTGAAACAGGATTAGATAGGATTAGGATTAATTGATTCCCTTTGTCTGGATGTCACAAAACTTTTTACAGCTCAACCAAGATAAAACTGAAATTTTAGCTTCTAAAACTCAGAGAGAGAAATTGGTTGTGAAATTAAATTCCCTTGGACTTACCCGAAGCCAACAAGCAAGAGACCTTGGTGTGGTCATGAGGGGTTTGTCTCCAAATCCTCCAAAGCCTTTTATCACCTCAAAAATATTACTGAAGTGCGACCTTTTCTCTCTCTAAGTGACACAGAAAAACTGATGCACACAGGCTTGACTACTGTAATGTTCTGCTATCTGCGCTACACAAAATGGATCGAAATCAGCCACAGCTGATTCAGAATTCTGCAGCCCAAGTGCTGGCCAGGACCAGAAGGAGGGAACACATTACCCCTGGTTTAAAGTCCTTACATTGGTTGCCTGTCAGCTCCCGTATTGATTTTAAAATTCTTTTACTTGTTTTTAAAGCACCTCATGGTCTTTCACCGAGATATACCGCTCCAGTCTGTTAGCTGTTCCAAACTGCAGAACTAAAACCTTCAGTGAGGCAGCTTTTAACTTGTATGCTCTGAGCTGCTGGAACAGTTTGCCCTGAGTCTGACCTGAGAGCAGCTGGAAGTGTGGAAATCTTTCAATGAAAACTTAAAGCCTACCTCTTCAGTCTAGCTTTTGATTAAGTATGGTTTATAGACATAACTTATTACTATTGTATTCACTTATTTTATTGTATCTATGTTGTTAATTTACATTTTTTTTATCTGTTATTTTATTATCATTAATGTAATGTTTTTATCCAATCAAATGTATTTTAACCTGTTTGTAGTCTCTAATAATAAATTCTAGTTAATTATGATGACGATGATGATGATGATTATTACTATTATCATTATCATTAAATATTTTACTGTTTTTCAGTGTTTTATATTTTGTTTTGTTTTTTGGTGAATGATTGTGGATAAGCTTGAGAATTAAATTGAAACCTACTTGTTGTCTTTGTTGACCCCCACTTTGTTGACCTCCTTCTCTGCCTCCTTCACGATCTTCTGTCTGTAAACGGAGAAACTCTCGTCTCAACGTCCATTCACCAGGAACGTTCACTATGGAGCTGAGAGAGCGAGAGCGAGAGAGAGGGAGAGAGAAATGGTGTAAGTGATAGTAATGGAGACAGTTATGTACTGAAATACTAAGGGAAAATGGGCACAGTTACACAAATACACTCTTAAAGCTCATCCTTGGAGAAAGTGCTCAGCTCCTAGTGCCATCTGCTGTTTGATGTCCAGGGACAGTAGCAGAGGCTAGTGCATCTGTCCATTAAAATAAAAACACACACACATGCCCTGTGGTGCTTCATTAGCAATGAATGTACTGAGCACTTAAGCAGAGGGAAAGTTCTCATAGTGACATGAATGTTAATCTACCGATAAGCAAAACACTCATAATGACAGCGATGAGACATTTTTCAAAAATCACTGAGATGCTGCTTCCATGTTGACCTGGATTCATCAAACGTGGATGTTCGATACCATATTACTGAATCTGTGCATCTGAAGAAGTTCACTAAATCAACATTTCTTTCTGCAGAAGGAAATCTGCACCAACTGCTGTGGTTCTAATCATTTCTCCACCACACAAGTGAGCGATCAATGTCTTCAACAACATTTCTGCCGCATGGTGTTTGGTGGTTGAATGGTTTAAGTGCACTGCAATGTCTATATTTGATTACCAACCAGGGGATGCTTGTTGCATATCGTACCCCTCTTTCTCTGCCCCAGTTTCCTGTGTTTCTTTGACAATAAACTGTTCAGGCAAAATGTTTAAACAATATTCATGTATAGTATGAAAAGGCTTTTACCTGGGTTCTCCTTCTTCCTCTGTGACCTCATCCTCCTCTTCCTCACTGCCACTGTACTCATACTCTGGACCCTCTGAAAGAGACAGACAGACAAAATAGTAGTAATACATTGGGTTAATATATTCTGAAATGAAGTTATTAAAGGTCCCATGTTAAAGAAAGTGAAATTTCCTTGTCCAATTTATTTTAATCACAAAGCAGGTCTAGGTCCTATATTAATACTGAGAAAGTATCAAAGTGCTCAGTGTTCAATCTGTATTCAGAAACTGAGCCTTAAAACGAGCCGTCAGGACTTCCGTAACTTTGTGATGTCACAAAAAAACATTGCCGCTCTAAGCCATGCCCCAAGCCCAGCCCAACCTGACCCACTATCAAAGCTTGCATGATTTGGTCCCTCTGAGTGTTCACCTGAAATCTGCTATATTTTTATTCAATCACTCAGAAAAAAAGTCAGCCAATCAGAAGAGAGGCTCAGCCAAAGCCTGAGAGAGAGGTTATTAAACTACACTGAGATGGTTTTCGGTACTTAAAACCACAAATATATCTTCTTATGGATATCACAACTTCAAATTAAACACAAGAAAAATGTAAAATATGGGACATTCAAAGCAAAAAATCCAGTATCTCCTTACAAGGTCAATGGAAATGGAAACTTGATCATTTACTGCCCCCTTTTAAAAATGTTTAAATAGCTGATAGAGCTGAAACAATAAGCTGAATGATCACTTAGCTGATTGAAAGAAAACTAACTGGCATCTATTTTGATAATGGCTTAATCATTTCAGTAATTATTTCTGTAATGGCTCTAATAGCCGTATCAGATTGGTTCTAAATGTGTGAACATGTAAGAGTAGTTGTCCATCAGCTGCACAGCACTTGTGGAATGTGTCCCACTTCACTCTGGTGTCCATGTTAATAGTAGCTGCATGTCAGTATGTGAGGCTAGCAGGTTATTTACTGTAAAATTATGCACTCAGTGTTGTCAGAGAGGAGGAACTGTATGGTTATGGGTGGAGCTTTTGGTGAACACTTCTAATGTGTAAGCACTGGTGTGGGTATTCTTCACTGACTTTCTGAAGCAGCCACTGTTTCATTAAAGATTCCTCCATGCCTGCCATCTTGTTTCTGCGTCGTCTACTGCCAGTAGCAATTTTGTCATTATCAAAGCCACACGAAAGTATAGTGTGGGCAAACTTGGGCAATAAGAAAGTAAATGAGAGTCTTGTTCCGTGGAAGACATATGGGACAGAGTTGTTATACTGTAGTGTGGCTTCAGAACAGCTATGCTGAATCATCTCAATCCTGATCCGACACATACACCAAAAAAAAGTTTCTCTCCTTTCAGCATACACATCCTACCATGGGACCCATAACACATGCACATTGGTGTAGGCAGTTGGACATCTGCAAATAATGTCTTAAAATGCATATTGGACCTTTTTTGTTCACACAGTGAATTCTTGAATTTGACTGTGGGGGGGCTTCTTGTCCACAGGCCAGGAAGATGGGCCCAGCCAGCCATTTGGCCAGCATATGATGTGAAAGTAGCAAACGGGCTGACTTGAACATTTACTCAACATGCTGTATGTTGCCATCAACACGCTGAAAGGTAACACAATACAGGTATGTTTGTCCAAAGCAGAAAGAACTACAACTTTTGCAGTGGATGGAGGAAATCTCTGCTCTGCTGCTGTGATGTCATGTTTGAAGGGTTTGGCTCATGTTATGTCTTTCTAGGCCAAAGCTGCAGGAGGAGAGTGCATTTCGAGGGTTGATGCCTACTTCTGCTGACCGGGAAGAGGGCATTTTTTTTTTCCTTTTTTTGAGTGATTCATCTTCCAAAGCATAGGCCATCTTTGTCCAAACTACACTCTTGGGTATGCTGAAATGACACATCCTTTTTGCATCATGTCCGGAGCATTGAATTTTTTTTTTTCACTCTTATTTCTGCAGCAGCGAGTTTTTCCCACATGCACTTAAGACTATCAGCATTTCATTACTCTGGAGGGGCATAGGGGCACACAGACACACATATACACGCAAATCTGGTCTTGTACACATCGCATGCACACACACACACACACACACACACAACACATGCCTGATGCAGAAAGTCTACCAGTCATTAGTGTGTTTTTATAAGCTAACAGAAGATTAAAACCAGATGGCCATTCTGTTTCCTCCTTCCTTCCCCTCAGCTTCTCTCTCTGCTCTCTCTCTCTCTCTCTCTCTCTCTGTTGTTATCACTTTCCCGTCTGTCTCTCAGTTTGCCAAATGAAGATGAATAAACCTAAAGGACAACACAAGGATTTCTTGCTTTGTTTGAATATCAATGTGAGAACAAGAGAAGAGCAAAGTCATAAATATCTCTGTCTTCTCTTCCCCGCCCCTAACTCTTTTTCTCACTGTTTGACTGCACATCTTGGCATCACACATTCAGCACATGCAACTCATCCAGAGGAGAATGAATCTTCAGAACAGGATGAGAATAAATTGTTCTCATACTGTATGTCTCTCCACCCCCCCCCTCCTAGTTTGTCCCATTTTTTGTCTTTTTCCATCCCTCACTCTCTCTTCTCTCTCCTTTATTTCTCCTTTATTTCTGTGTGTGTTGTGTAAAACATGGCCCCAAGTGAATGTAGAAAAGAAGAGGAAAGGTCAGGACATGTACAGCCTTTTGGCCTGACCCAACATTCTCCCTCTCTCACTCTCTTGTTCATTTTGTCTTGCCATCTCACTGTCGCCCTTCCTCACTTCTCTCCATATTCTGTTTGATTAAAATATCTGGCATAACTGGAACAGTTCAAATTCAAAAGCTTTATTAGCGCAGCAGGGAAACCTGTTGTCTAGCCAGTGTTTGTGTATCAACTACTGTAGTTTTAGAGATGTAAATATAAACATATATTATTCCCTGAAACTTTCTTTCTGGTTTCAGTGTACTGCAGTAATACTGAACAGGTTTAAGAGTTAAAAAGTGTAGATTTACTTTAGAAATATATGAAGTATAATGTATTATATGCAAAAGACGTTGTGTAAACTGTGCAGTAACACTAGCATAATAAATCATTTCCATAAACAGCGTGCTATAAATTAGCAGAAATGCAGTGTTTGTGACAGCCTGAGCAAAGCAGCTGCTGTGGTATCAGTGCAGCTGGTGCTCTCTCTCAGCTCAAGTGTGCTGATAGTTCTTCCTCAAACACAAGTGGCCTCAAACCTACCTCATTCCACCTCAAGTTGCCTATTTGTAAAATTTTCTGATATCCTTTTAGTTATCCAAAGAACTTATTGTATTCCTTGTCTGTGAATGACCTCTTAAACAACTAAACAATTCTAAAAATGTGGGGCAGAGATGATGACCTCCATCTAGACTAAATCTCTGTCTGCCTTGACAGTATCAGCACAGGTTGTCTACACTCTCTCCTTCACTTTCTTTAGACAGACTATGTGTATGTGTTAATGGGTTTTTAATGCAGTCCTTGTTCGACCACCCTAGTCTTTCCCCTACACAGAGCTGCCTTTTCACCACACTGACACACACATGGCATGAAATAGCCAATATCAGCACAGGTTTCCCATTAGGACTCCGGCCCACAGCAAAATTCACCAGGCTCTGTCAGTGAGTGTCGGCCTACATAATTGATCACATGAATAATTCAGCTGTTAATACAAGAACTGAATTACTACTGAATCACTGTAATCAATTCCAGTCCTTTAGTAAGTCCAGTCCTGATGTAACGTTTGAATGAAAAAACTCTGAGTTCAGAGTTTGGTCTTGATAAAACTAAAAGATAAACTATAACAGCAGACAGGATTTAACTCACCGCATTTATCCAAAAGCTGTACCAGTTACTGATATGCACTGCATTCATGTCTGCTCACCTTTCTCTCTCTTCTTCCTGGTTCTATCCAGGTGATCTTTTAGCATTATGCGAACTTGTCTCTCATTAGCCAGGTCTCTGATGAAGGCGTGTCTCAGCAGGGTGTCAGTGGTGGGTCGATGCAGATGGTTCTTAACCAGACAGTTATCGACAAAGGACAGAAAACGCTTTGACCTATACAGATGGAGAAAGAGGGCGAAAGAAAGGAGACACAAAAAATCTTACCATGAAACTGAATGTTATGAAAATCTACTCTTTTGGTATCTGTTTAATGTACTTTTAATTCGAGGAAAATATTAAGAGCCTTTAAATTAGGTTTGATAACATGTACCCAGTTCATCTTTATGTTATAAAGTCTTGCTCATTCATTGTAAAATTAATATGAGTAGATATAATTCTTTAAATCCACATTCATTATTTCCAAGATTCAACAGCTCAGAACTGTTACTGAAACATCATAACTTTAAGCTCAAGTCTGCATTTTACTTCACTCACTTTTTACTATCATGTTTAATCTGGTTTTTGCTGCTCGTCATCTGTAAAGGACTCTGTGGTAAAAATGTCTTGATAAAACGCAGCATATAAATAAACCTGAGCTGACTAATGGGAAGTGGCGTGACAGAGGAGCAATTTGACACATAACCTACAAACACATGCCTGCACTACAAATAGGTGTAGGTAATTTTACTGACTAAACCTCCTTATGAAGGTCAGAAAAATCTCCTTTGTTTTTAACTTAAACTCATTTATTTAACAAGATTGGTCATTTTCAATTAAATAATCTCTTTACTAATGGTATGTTAGCAAAATCGGACCATTATTATAAACAACACTTGTGCAATCCACAAATATAAAACTCAGAACCAGAAACAAAACTAAGATCACATGTAAATCTATATGCAGGAAAAATCACATTAATGAAAGAAAAAGGACAAGCTTTCAACAATGAATTGTAATGCAGTGTCATGTTCAAACATATTCAAATCAACATCATCCTCTATAACCTGCCACAAAATTATTAAATATTTTTTAAACTCACCGAGAGTATGCCAGCTAGTAATCACTTGTTGCGGCACTACCAAGGAAAATCCTTGCAAACATGTTGAGTTTAAGTTTTACTCAGGAAACGTCTGTGTACAAAAATGCTCCTAACATTCGAGAGGTGTGTTGTCTCTAGTCTAAACTCATTAAAAACAGGGAAGAAATATGTGTTGCTGTTTAGTTTTCAGGATGCCTGATGCCTTAGGGGGGCCTGGAGGTAGGAGGGCTGAAAAGCTCTGCATAGCCCAGACCGTTGCAGCTATTAAAAGATGCCCTATGAACTAGTCTTTCTGATGGCATTAATACTGAATGGAAGAGGGCATGAGTTCAACTACAAATTCAGTCTGAAAAGCTTATTCATTATATATTCAAGAGGAGAGGGGAGGGGATGAAGACAAGAGGAGAGGAGAGGAGAGGAGAGGAGAGGAGAGGAGAGGACAGAAGAGGACAGGAGAGGAGAGGAGATGAATTAATCTTAATTTATTAAGATTAAAAATGGCAGCATCGATGTACAGTGTAGAACAGAACTGGTCAATATCACTTAAATGTGACGGAATTACAAATCCTAACTATTTAATATAATTTTATTTGTTTTTAGCCAAACCCCAAGAAGAATGAAGCCAATTCATTTGACAAACAGAAATGTTTGACTAATTAAACTATAATGAAAGGTCCATATTTAACTGCAAAAAGGTCAGTACACCCTTCATTCTTCTATGTTCTTAACATTTTGAAAGTCCACCTTTACTTTTGGTGACATACTCAATCCTCCTGAGCATGAATGATACCAGTCTCTTCGGCTGCTCTTTGCTGGTGGGCTTTTGTTGTTTTACCTTCAATTTTAAACACTCTATAGATTGGATTTAAGTGAGGGCACAGATCTGATGTTTAAGTTTTCAGTTTTTTTTCCTCTAAAAACTTGTGTGATTTGTGCTGTGTTTACCATGTATTGTCATGTTGGAAATTCACTCTCCTGCAAGTCTTCTTGAGACTGGGAGTCACCTTTTCAGTCAGTAATTAGGTATAAAACTTGAACTCATAGCGCCATTACCCCTAAACCTTCTGCAATCACGCAGTCCCATATGAGCCCACTCGCACCTCCATGTTCAACAGTAGGCAGTCACTGTGGTAGTCCTGGACCCTGGACAATTTCCTTACCATGTTGCATCAGACATAACTCAGACCAAAACTGAGAAAAAAAAACTACTGTGTTCAGGGGTTATTTTATAACTTTGTTCATGCAATTAGCCTCAGGTGTAATCACTTCTGTTTGTATGTCTGGACAGGCCTGTGACTTTGAGCTTTCTGTTTCATCGTGAGAGGACAGTGTTAAGATATCTGATGGCTGACTGTCTGAGGCATAAAGCCCACAACAAAGACCACTTTCAAGCCGTGTTTTCAGAAGAGAAAACCTAAACACTGCCCTCTACATCCTGCTGTGTGTATATGTGTGTGTGTGAGAGACAGGCTCACCATTTCTTTGATTTCAGTTTGGGTGGAGGGTTTCGTGGAATTAAAAACAGGGCTCTCATTGGATGCATGTCACATAGAGCTAGGAAAAAAGACAGAGGGTCAGAGAGGGAGAGAGAGAAAGAGAGAGACATTTAAAATGAGGAAATACAGTACATTTGGGAAACATAAACAATCTATTAACAACATAAGTCACTTATATGTGTATGTGAAGATGTATTTCTGACTTACGAGGGGCTCCTTCAGCCATCTCTAAAGCTGTGATTCCTAAAGACCAGAGGTCACTCTGAAAATGAGAGGGACAGGAAAAGGTTAAGACTGGTGCACACACAAAGCTTAGCTTGAGCTCTAGTCATTTCCTGTAAACTTTGGATGTCCTCTTTTAATTCAAATAGTAAATCAGTTTGTGCATAGTGTGAGAGTGTAGATCCAGGAATAACAAAAACAATTTCCAAGACTTCAAGCCAAGCTCCTGGCATTTTACAAAGAATTGGATTCAGTGATTTCAAAAGTCATTGTGTAATTACTTCCAGAAAAGAAAATTTCCATTTATACGCATTTCTGTGAACTATGACATATCTAATCAGGATGGGTGAATGGAAACGTTTTGATGAAAAAGTTGCTTGAAGGATGTTCTGTGAGTAATGAAAGTCTTTCATGTATAATGATGGAAATCTTTCTGCTGAATATAAGGTGATGAAAGCCTAGACACCATTTACTGTAGAATTAGTCATTTCATGTGTCTTTGGTGGATTGAACAGCTACTGGATATCAAAAAAGGGGGTGTAAATGCTTTAAAGAGGCATTCAAGATGAATTGAAACCTCAGCTAAGACATACTCTATCTATCCTCTCTGTCCAAGGCATATACATAATCTTTACTTTAATTTAACTATATATGTAATTGGCCAGTGTAACCTATATAGTGTCTTTCCTCCGGTGATAATGGCAGCCGAAGTTACACTTAAATCACTTGGTGACCAAGGGTGATTGCCTGGCCGCCTCCTGACAGCCTGCCTGTGGAACTCAGGATAGCCAGCTCTTAAAAACCCATTTTTATAAAAAGTTCTTGGTCTTGTTTCGCTTTTTCTTTTGGTGTTGTGTATTTGAATTATGTTGTTTTAAATGATTTTAATTTTACAGTGTGTACAAATAAAGTTTATTGTCATTATCATTGTTATTAAATCAGTCGTTTAAACTGAAATTTTACTGCTGGATGCAATTTGCAAGGGGGAGAGAGCACCTGTCTGTAATGGTGAGCCTATGAAGATGAGCAAAACCTTTATTTTGTTTGTGAGAGACATCCATGTGTTTGTGCTATGGATAGTTGTTACTGTAGCTGTCATGCCAGCTAAACTGTTATTGCTGTAGATAAACTGCCAACAATATTATTTGTCTGGCAAACAGCTTTAGATGCATTACCACCATCCTTTGAACTGGAGTAAGACTGACCCTGATTTGCATGTATCCCAGGAAAACAAAGAGGGGTTGCAATCAGATTTGTGATCTGACTGTATGTGGCTGACGGCCTGTCTACACAGGAGGCATTTCTGTCTTTCTTCCATGCATCTGACAAAACATCTATTTTAATCAATATAGCTGTCTACACACATCCCAAGGCAAATTTTTACGCTTCAAGTCTATTTTCTTCCGAATTACCTGCTTAACTACAGTGATTGTGTGACACAGGTGACCTACACTCAATACTGTCCCAGTACTGTGTGCACAGTTCATCCCAATCTCTGCTGTCTCTTCCATGTTTGCCTAGTTGTATGAGGTTGTTTGATCACTGGATTAAAATATTACCATTTATTTTTAGTTTAGTTTAGTCTGAGTTTGTAGCTTCAGAAGTCTCATATGGTCTGCATTAACTGATAATAAAGAACAAGAACTTTCACAGTACTAATCAGTGTTTGAAATGCTCTTCATTCTTCTGCTGGATGCCTTGCTTTTATATTCATGAGTCACTCAGGCTGATGGGAACTAACCCAATTCCCAGGGTATTTTCCCATCCCAAGCGGTCACTAAAAATGTCCTTGAAGTTGGCAAGAAACATAACTACGTCTGTGTCATTACGTACCCTGTAGTCATATGTGGCATCAGGGTTCTCATCACAAGCAATGACCTCTGGAGCCATCCAGTAGGGAGTACCAATGAAGGTGTTCCTTCTGCCAATGGTCTTGTCCAGCTGAGCCGACACCCCAAAGTCAACTGAAACATAAAAATGTAGGACGTCTGTAAACAACAAAATGACCAATGCTTCTCTGAGAGGAGGTTTTTTCATGGTTTGTGTGATTTATTTATGTATGTATGACTATGATTGTTCTAAAGTTCAGCCTAGGGGAGGATGCGCATGTGTCTGAGAAACCACAGTGCATGTGTAGATGTGTCATACCCAGTTTGACTTCAGCATTCTCTGTGAGCAAAACATTTTGTCCCTTAATGTCTCTGTGAATCACATGATGGGAGTGAAGATGGGAAAGACCCTGGAAGACAAACATACACACACATTAACACACACATACTCACAGAGTCAGATGACTATCACTATAAATACGAATTCACAAACACTGCCTTGGTAGAGTAGTTGCATTATGTGTCTATTCTGAAGGAATATGAAATAAAAACTTGGATTTATTTCAACCCTGTGCTGCTTTTTCACTATAATAAAATTCTAAACAACTTTTCTTTAGGTGGCAGACTGGACTAGTAGCAGTGGCACAGTTTGAATATGTGCGCGTCTGTGTGTGTGTGTTTGTGTGTTTGTACTCTCGCTTCTTCAAAGGAGGTTAAATAAACAGAGGAAGTGAGTCTTATTTCAGACAATGACTTCATCATGCTATGCTGAGTGTCTGTGTGAGTTTGCATGTGTGTGTCGAAACAATGGGGAGACAGCATGGCTGACAGCAGCAGAGAAAACCCTGGCATCCATCCAGAGTCCTTTGTCTCTCAAGTTTTTTTTTTTTACTTCTAAAAAAATAATCTCAGTTCCATGTTGACCTTGATAGTGTCAGCATAAAGGTCAGTTATGTTAGAAGTAAGTTGATATAAGTTGATATACTGTATGTGTGTGTGTAGGTCTGTTAGTAGAGCCACAAACTGAAACACCAACGCAGAAAGCAGTGCAAACATCCCGGAGTCTTTCTCAGGACCTTGTGATCTCTCATAATGATAACCATAACATCTTACACACATGTGTTTTAAAGTGGCCTTTTGAGTATATAAATGAAAAAATAAATCAATTATTCCCCCCACGTCACAGAGGGAAAACATGACAGAGAAGCTGATCCCTGAACATAAAGAAGTATCAGTGTCGGTTCGGCTTCTTCTCTTTGATGTTTTGGCAAAGAATCCAACTCTAAAAGTAGCATCGCGTTTCTCATACAACCGCAGCAACTCATCTCGCCTTTAGTTTGCGTCCATACACAAATGACTACCTCTGTCTTTTTCTCTTAACAATACCTCAGGAATAAGTTCGTTTTGTGCATCTTGTCTGTATGTTCGTGCAAGTTAATTGAGGACAGAGAGTTTAAATGCTACATTACATAACAAAAGGGATTTGCGTTAGTATGGTACAGAGAATCAGGTACACGTTCACATAATATATACACTCCCTTACACTGTACAGCTATACAGTGAAAGGGGTTATTTTGAGTTTTAGCCTGATAGTTTAGCACTTCCGAGGTTTAATCACTATTATAACAGAAAAGCAACTGCGTTAGAAAATATCTGGTTCTTTAATAAAAAGTCAAAGCTAAAAACCTGTGTACATACATAACATTTAAAGAGAGAAGTAAACTATAACTCTCGGAGAGCAGTTCAGTGAGAAACATGCAATCACTGCTTAAAATATTGTAAAATGTACAGCTGATGTCAAGTCGAAGCTAAAGATTACGCAGTGTAGAAACACGAAAAAACATTCAGCAGTTTAAATCATTTCAGCTTGGGGTTAGGGTCTGACAATAACCAACTTCAAACTGATGAAAAAAAATATGGGTCCGAGCTGAGCCAATATTAGCATTTGCAGATATATTTGTAACAAGTTAATTTTTCAGGAATATTTGATTGTTATTATTTAAACTCTTAAATATCAATATTGGTATCTGCCTCAGATATCCAGTGTTGGTCAGGCTCTCATATGGGTGAATCGGTTGTATGCTGTTTTATGCATATTTGTGTGTTACTTGACCTTACCCTGAGCACCTCTCTGCAAATATAAGCTATCCAGTCTTCCTTCAGACAGTTTCCCTTGGTCTTCTTCACCAAGTCTGTTACTGAGCCAGCTCCACAGTACTCCATCACCAACTACATGGGCAGATGAAGAGATGTCTGTCACACACACAGGTACTGTACTAGCCAAAATAACTATTAATATTACTGTCTTTTGATCCTAATATGAAAGACATAATACAACAGGAATACAGTTTATGATAATGTCACACAGGATAAACCCAGAGTGGCAGCAGCTGTTAAAGAAAAATGTGTCATTTCTATAAGCAATAATTATTAAAAAAGCAGATAAAGTAGTTTACAAACCCAGAGCTGGTGGTCCTGTCCCGCAGGACCTTTCTTAATAAAAGCTCCATAATAAGTAGCGATGTTTCTATGGTGGGAATAACTCTTCAACATGTTGATCTCCAGCTTTATCTCCTCTTCTTCCTCCTAAACATAAAAACAGAAACGCCACGCTTACTCAGATGATAAAAGCACCACTTTTTAACGTGACTGATCTGCATTTAAAGAAGCTGTTAAATGTCAGTGTTTGGCAGAGGAGAGACAGCTTGAATAAAAGAGCGTATTATACACTGTATTATGCACTTATACAGGATGTTTAGAAGGTGTGGCACTTAACACTAAACCATACATCAAAATATGATCATGTTTAATCCTGCTTCTATAATGAGGCTTATCTATAAAAGTTGAAAGGTGGCACTTTAAAAATAAAAAAATCTAAGGCTCCATACAAAACAAACACGTATACAACCAGACAGACAGCAGCTCCAATCAGACTGTTCGTCTAACCTCTACATGATCTTTCACCCAGCTATTGGACCTTAATTCAACTACTCTCAGTTCTCAACTAAGGTTGGTCAGTGTTATGAGACATAGGACAGATAGAGCTAGCAGAGGAAACAGAGAGTGGCACTTTTTGTTTTCTCACTATAAATCCCAGAAATGACTTGTGACTTCTCAAATTCACTGAACCTCTAAACCTACACTGGGCTAGAGGAGAAAGAGGAGAGCTGGAAGAAGGAGAGCAGAGCTGGAGGAGCCCGATGTGGCTGTTAATCAGAAAAGAGGAAACAACAGAGAGCTTCTCCCAGTCACTGACCTCCTTTAAATCTCCACAGGACAGGAGGGGAGAAAATGACAAGCAGAGTTTGACCTTTCACCTCTATCTGAAACACAAAGCCCCCTGCCTGTGTCTGCAGTCTGTCTGTGAGTGTGTCTGTGTGCGAGAAGGGAGATAATAGCCAAGCATTTCCTGCTAAAGAGTTTGTCTGCAACACAGAAGACCCAGAGTCTCATCGACAGCAAATCAACCAGGGTGTCCACTTCTGCAATGGACAGGTTTGTGGCAATGTAAAAATAAGCACCAAGTCTGATCAGGGTGTAATAACTTTTTTTCGGACACAATAGAAACTGCACAGATGCTATTTAACCCAGTTTTGCATTTACCAGTCTAATGGAGCCATTCTCTATTATTCTGCAGATAATTATTTCAATTACTCAATCAATTGTTGGTCTATAAAATTTAAGAAAATGGTTAAATATGACCATCACAGTTTCCTTTTAATTTGCTTGATTTGTCCAACAACAGTCAAAACCCCAAACATATTCAGTTTCCTGTGACATAAAACAAAGGAAAACAACAAATCCTTCTCGGTATTTTTACATATTTTTTACGACTAAGAGTAGGCCATGCTAGCAGTTCTGTTAGCAGCTCTGTGAGACTCTATAGAGGTTACACAGGTACATCAGAAATATGATAATGCTTAATCCTGCTTCTATAATGAGGCTTATCAAAAAAGTTGAAAGGTGGCACTTTAAAAACAATTCAGCAGCATTCATCATCAGCAGCAGCAGCGAGCTAAAAGCTAACATCACTTAACAGTTTTACTTAGTTAGTGAAACTAAAAATCCTTTATTAATACATGGAAATGCCAACGCATTATATTTTTTTCTGACTGCCATTGTACAGTTTCAACTCTTACAAGACTAATTACACTCCCCCTGTTTTTCTTCATAATCAAAATAGTTCCCAATTCATTTTCTGATGATCAAGAAATTGATGAATTAACTAATCGTTTCACAACTACATGCTTAATTATCTGAAAGCGTAGTCCTCTTAGAGGGTTCAGCCTGACCACATTAGAAATGCTTCACTGAAACACTGCTTTGCCATATTATGACCCAGCATGCCTCAAAATCTGTTGCAACGTTATTTTGAGCACATATGTAACCCCATTCTACCGTCACTGTTGATCTACATCTGTACACCACAAGCAATATTCAATAAAACCTCCACACCTCAGCTGTTTGTCCCCTCATACAGCTGTAAGAGCACAAGGTAGAACACACACAGTCAAATCACCTCCTTCTTTAAACGTAAAGGGTCTAATCCATAGTCCATATATAACTGTAAGGCTAACCAAACCACTGAAATTCAAAATACAGCTTCAGACAGATCTTTTCATCCTCATATGGATTTACAGTATTATGAGTCATATCAATAATTTTTTTCATCAACACTATCCAACACTGTGGTTTTAAAACTCTAAAATGAACAGAACTTTAACATCAATGAAATTCATCTGGAATATAATATAAAAAAACTACTTCTGGACCAAAACAGAAATATTGGTGGGGCTCTGAGAACAGTAAGAAAGAAGAGACTATTTCATGTAATTTAATTCTGTCAGGCTAGCGGTGTAAAACGTAGATTTTTGTTTGATCCTAGTTGTGTGTCTATGCTTTAGGGAAGGAGTTAGGAGAGGTTGTCAAATGGATTGTAAAAGTTCCATTGCTTCAATTACCCGCATGAGGAGAGAGAGAATTGAGTTGGGAAAGGAGAGAAGAGAAGAGAGATGCACTGTGAAGCCAGTCATTCAGTCTAATAATGAGTTTTAAAACGTTTTATACCAATGTAAAGAGCTTTAAAATACTGTAGTACTGAAAACCAAAATGTATAGACTGATCTTAATAACCTTTTATATCATTGCAATTGAGCATTCTCAATTCTCGGCTGGCAGGTGTGAATTAACCTTAAGCAACCAGACGCCTTTTACACAGGTTTGGTTTGCAGCTTTAAATGAATGTGGCAGTATTTAAAGATAAAGATAGCAGAATGAAGCTTAAAGGGGCTATTTGTAAGTTTTCTCTGCCAATCAAATGTGGTTTCTTGCCTAGAGCGGGTGGTGGTGATTATCACTAGACATGAGCTTTGGCTTGATTGCGCCTCAAGACAAAAGATTATAATACACCCTCTGAGCAGCGCTACATCTTCAGGGCAGATTGGAGGGCTACAGTGAGTCATTATCAGAAAGTGACGAGACGGATTGGGGCTAGCTGGTTAGAATGCAAACTTCATTAGAAGAAAAGATGTGATAAAGTTGACATTGGCGTTGTTTTCCACCTCTCGAGACAGCTCTTGGTGAGTAAAGGAATGAAGTTTGATGCTAAATTTGCAATGTTTCTTCTAGACTGGTAAGTAAACAGCTGTTGATGCTAACATTGGCTGTGTAGCAATAGCAGAACTTACATATAACTCCTTTAACAAAAGAGGTTGGAGCTAGGGTTATATATGTAACCAATAAAATAACATAGATAAACAGCTTCACAGAGGAATTCATGTAAATTTAAATTTCCATTGTATTTGATATTTTCATCCAAGGTTTCCACCAGAGTATTCCAAGCCCCAAGCAGCTTGATTGGAAACCTAGACATAATAGTTGGAAAGTTCACCAGCAACTACTGATGATTAAAGCACCACTGTCGACCTCCCAGCTACAGGTCGTTGCTGGGCCACCACATCAGTCAAAAAAATCCATAAAGTTTTTACCGGCCCTGTCTGTGTGCCTGTCACAGAGTGTGCTGCGTGCAAAAACGCACAAAAAATAAAGAGATGTGGAGGAGGCACAGGTAAAGGGAGTCGAGTCGTAGAGTGGTGACAGCTAACATGTCTCTGTGTTTGTGGCAGTGGGTGGGAGGAAAGAGATTAGCAGAAAGTTATATATTTATTTATATACTTATTATATTCATATTCATATTTTCTGTTATTGTAGTTCCAATGTGTTTAAGATTTGAAAGCAACCAGTGAAATTAATCTTTATGTGTGCAGTGCAACTAAATTTAAATATCTGTCAGCCCTATGAAACATGCCCCTTCCTGTTTAGCTAGGTTGCATAGCAATGCAATGGGAAGGAATTCTGAAGTACGGAAACTATAGCTGTGTCCCAATTTAGGGGCCACATTCAGTCTACGAAGGCGTGGCCTCCGAGGACCACATGAACCACGAGGCCGAACTGAAATGAGATAGTCTGGTCTACGTAGGATATCCTATTGATCCTCGACTGCTGTTTTATTTCTCTTTTTGAAAAGTGATTCATCACTTGCATGCAATGAATCTTGGGATGGGTTGGGCGAATGTGGATCCTGCGGCTTGCAATTGAAGGAGCCTTCAAAATAAAAGCTAAAAGCTAACTAAAATTAATTACATAACTCAATGAATGACTGATTTTTTTAACATCTTTGCATGTGGCATTTTATTGGGTAGTGGTGGCCAATGTGTAAGAGGAATAATACCCGAGTTTTACATTTTGTAAGTGTAATGGATGATGTGGAGGCGAACAAAATTCTGACACAGTAAAGTGATCCACAAGTGGAATCCCAGCTTAAACTTCTCGAATCACTGTAACTTTTTGAATCAGCATAATGCAGTTCTCTGCTGTCCATCTGTCTGTCCATTTGCACAGTATGCAACAAATGACTTCAATATGTGAGCTTTCATTATCTCTCTTCATAGACAGATAACACAGACAGATAACTAACAACATGCTGACTGGTTTATTCACAAACAGCAAGCGCCTTCATGAGACCAAAAATGAAATAGAAATGCGACTGAATTTTTATTCTGACTTTAAATTCAATTCTAAACCATTTGCACATGGGATAGAACTAGATCAGCTTGTAATATTCTCATGTGAGGGTAATCGTGTATACAAAAGTATGCCATGTATAATTTAAATTAACAGACGGATTATCTATTATTATCACTTTAATATTCACCAAAGATAAGCAAGAAAAGAGGAACAAATAAGCTCAGAGTGGAGGTAGAGACAAAACGAGTATGTGTGTGATTGAATGAAGTGCATGTTTACCTCTGTGACTTCCATGACTTTGATAGCTGCCAGCTGGCCCGTCTTGACATGACGACCCTGTTGGAATACACAAAAAAGCAGATATAAAAGAGTAAACACTCAACACAAAGCCAATTATTTCTACCAACATACACAGTTGTTTTTCATCTTGACACACCAAATAAAAAAACACAGTGAGGTGCGGTCCGTAGCAACATGTATGAGTAGAAGTGTGTCACTAGGAAACATCCCAAGTCCCACGACAGCACAAGCTCTTACATAGTGCATGACTGTTTCAACACAAGAACATCAATCAAAGGCATTTTGTCTTGGGGTTTTATAGAACAGTGTCCAAAGGGCAAAAAAATTGTGGTGAAAAAAGCTAAATTTGAGATAAATTGTGGATGACGAGAAGAACAGAAACTGAGCTTTGGCTCTACAATCAAACCTGAATGAACTAGATTATGAAAAAGCTACTACTCTCTTCTCGCAGATTCCAGCAGTAAAAATCGAATATGTTCAAATGTGATATGATCAACTCCGTACGATTGCTTCATGCACAGCTCAGGCAGACTATCTCTCTGGGTGCTAAGAAAAGCAGTTCTCATGTAGTGACAAGTGAATCATCTCAGGCTCAGGTCAATATTCTACACATGTTCATTAAATCACAAGTGCAGCTGTGTGAATGAGAAAGACAGGCAGGGTCAAAATTGTCAAGCTTAGACACCAAATATTGTAGAATTTTATCTCCAGATTACAACAAAACCTGGCAAGCACTGGAATCTATAATCAACCCAACCATAATGTAACATGAACACAAATTACTACACAACTTTTGAGTGAGCCCTTGGATTGTGATATTATTTTCAATACTCATGGACACAGCTACAGTGCGTCTGTCTGTCTGCGTAATTTCATTTTCTCGTGAGAGGCACAGTCAGAAAGAACAAGACAGGACGCAAGATGAGACAGAGAGAGAAAAGAGGGAGTAAGCCCACACACAGAGCAGGAGCTGTAAAGTGCAGTCAGGTGAAAAGGGGAAAATTGAAAACCTTGTCATGAGTCAGAAAGCTGACAAGATACTAGAGGAGCTCCTCTATAGGCCTTTAAGCTGTGATGTACAGTATGACAGAGCTCTGAGTGTGTGTATGAAATAGACGAGAGGGCACTCAATCAGTCAGCTAATATTCAGGTATAGACTCAGAGAAAAACAGTGAGGAGAAGATGAGCTTCAAAATAAACACAAGTTTTGATATTTGCCTATTTTTGTTTTATCTTGTCTGAAGCTACATTTGAGATACACTGTTACTTTCCTGAGAAGTATAACTCACAGGACTGAGTCCTGCATTATATAGAAGGCCATGGGAAATAGCATGGTGTTGAAACCTGTGTTTGATGAAATTATTTTCACATCCGCAAAGTCTTGAGGAGTATCAAAGACTTACACCCAGTGGTACGTTTTAAAACTTCCATTAATTCAGTTACTGTCAATACCATCCCTCAGGTAAACAATAACTGAAAACTGTTATGGCAGAGAGATCTGTGAAATTAGTTTGATCGGAAATCGCAAAGGAAGCAAAGAAAGAGTTTAATAACGAGGGAAATCTCAGATATTATATAGTAGTAAGACTAGATTGGACCTGAGTGGATGGTTTGGTTCAGCAAATGTCTGCACTTAGTTACAGAGGCTAGTGGCAGAGAGGTTACTTCATACATGACATCATAAGTTTGGCTCTCTATGCTGTACTACTTACTGTTTCATCCCCATATAAACTATTGTAAGCGAGCTTTGCTAACAAAGTTTGCAAGTTATTGGATGAAGTACCTACATGAAATATATCCATTACACTCTTTAGGACTCTGGGAATATTTGTGGACACTAGAAATACTGCATCCTTGTGTCCAGCGTATTTACAAGTTCAAATATAGTGTGTTTCATTTGAGTTTCATCTCACTTAACATGCATGTAAATGTTTTATACCCAGTAACAGCTGGGCAGGAAAATCCATGAAAACAGTGGAATGCTAAGACATGCTTCACAATAAAGTTTATTTAAAATGTTACTGAACCGGCAGCTGTGAAGCAGACGACTTGTCAGATAACAACCTAGCTGATTTTCTTCACATACTGTATTGGACATGAGATATACTGTGTCAGGCTCAATGACCCCTGTTCATTCTGGCCACCATTCTGTCCCCACATGGAGGACATTGTCTCCATAATTGCAAAGAATTGTGGCATACAAGCAGCCGCTGCCCTGACTGTGATAAATAAGGAAACGGCCTTCCTGTCCCTTTAGACTCAATGGTGTCTGCTGGCTACGCTGCCACCACAACTCACTAATGTGAAATGTTCTACTCTCAGCTGGGCCACTTATTAACAATATGCAGCACTGACACACACACACACACACACACACACGCACACGCACACGCACACTCAAAAGGGCTCTGTGGTCTTCAATTAATTGGAGAAAGCTTGTGCACTTTCTGACATTGACGTCCAATGAATTTAATACATGGGCTCATGCACACACACACATTATGTGACAAAGTGCTAGGAATCAAACGCACACAAATGAATCCAGATACAAATATCGTCTCCATATTTGTCTTGTTCACTTACACACATCACACACACGATGGAATAAGGAACACTACAAATACTGTGTCAGTGAAAAGGTTACTATAATATATTCATACATATGCTAATTAGATACAAAAGAGACATTTATAATGCAGACAGCAAGGGGACAAATGAGAGAAACACTCTTACTGTATCTCTCTGCTACTCTCGAAAGTTTCTCTCTCCCTCTCTCTGCCTGTCTTGCTTTCATCTCCTCCTCTGTTTTTCTGTCTCTCCCCTACAGAACAGTCTGTTAGTTACATAGGTGTGCTTGGATGGACTGCATCTCCTCTACAAACTGCATGTAGGAATGGTGCTAATAAACAGCAGCATGTTTGTATCTATGTGTGTGTGTGTGTGTGTGTGTGTGTGCGCGCGCGCATGCGTAGATGTGTCTGAGCCTGCACATTTTGCTAGAGAAACAACCCATTTTTTCCCTCCCTTCCATTCACATGGAACTTTCACTGGCTGGCACTACACGGTCAAAAGGGGCTGCACTGGTGTCTATTATATTTACAATAATGCTGCAGAGAACTGAGAAAGTGAAGCTGCTCCCACTGTGAGTGAGTGAGTGTTTGTGTGTGTTTGTGTGTGTGTGTGTGTGTGTGTGTGTGTGTGTGTGTGTGTGTGTGTGTGTGTGTGTTCTGTGAGCCAACAGGGATGTATTTACCAGGGCAGCTCAAGGAGAAACCATCTTGTTTGTTATCATTACGTGATTTTACTTAAATAATTGAGATGGGTTGATTTAGAACAAAATAAGGATAATTTTTCTGATGGTTAATGAGACTAGAGATAAACTGATTAATGGGCCAGACTGATATATCAACTCATACTAGCTTATCACAGATACATTAGCATTGTATGTGTTGGCTGATAAGCAACAACAAATTTAAAATCCATGATTCATCAGGCTGGCAGGATCTAATGATGAGACGCTATCAATTTGCATCATGGGAATTGTAGAATTCAGCAGTTTCAGAGTTTGATACTGCTGCATCGATTTCGATCATTCTTTTTTAAATCTGAGTTTTGCTGTTTCGCCAACTTTGTTGAAGTATGATACTGAATCACAGGTGCACTTTTAATTGTCCTTTTGGCATTTAGAAAGTATAGTGAGAAGGCCAGACCCTCCAAGAATATTCTAACTGGACTTTCCCATGTTCTCACTGCTCTGGGTCTCACTCTCTCTCTCTTTCACTCTCTCTCTCTTTCTCTCTCTCTCTCTCTCACACACACACACACACACACACACACACACACACACACACACACACACACACACACACACACACACACACACACACATGGGTAATCAGCACAATCCATTGCTCCGAGCCTCATGGGGGGCTGCTTTCCCCTTCCCTCTCTAGTTTTCATCTGCCTCTCTCCCTCTTCCTTCCTCCCCTCCTCTCTGTCTCTCTGCCTTTCACCTATGCCTTCCTTCCTTTGCCCTCCCTCGCTCTCTCACTTTCCTCCCTCTCCTTCCTTTCTCTCCATTTTTCCCATTGTCTCTCTCCCACTCTTTCTGTTTCACCTCTACCAAACACAGATGAAGCAACTCTACACTATGTTGGAGGATGTTTCCTGTCTCTCTCTGTGTCTATCTTCTGTTTTCTCTCAGCTCAAACCCCCACCCAACACTGCTTAGCTTTGGAACAAAGACTTTTATTTCAAGATAAGATCATATTCATTTCAATTTTCCAAATTTTTGATAATGTGTAATAATGTAATGTTAGAATGCTTTGCACAACTGAGCTGTCCATTTTCTTTATATGAAGAGGAAACTGACTATTTTTCAACACTAAGAAACCCTCTTGTTTATCTTAGGTTGAGCAAGTGTTTTTCAAAATAAAACCCTTCCAGTGGCTTTCACTGTCTAGCAGCTGCAGAAGGTGTTGTGATATCACTGTGGGGAGGGGTTAATTACCTCCGCCAAGGGGTTATGTTTCCCTCTGTCTGTTTAGTTGTCAAAACGATTATGCAAAAAGTACTGAATCTATTTACATTGAACTTGGTGGAGTGATGGTTTATGAGCCAGGGAACAACCCATTAAAGGTCCCATATTATAGAATGTGACTTTCCATGTGTTTTTTGATTATAAAGCAGGTCTAGGTTCTATATCAACTCTGTGAAAGTTTTAAAACGCTCAATCCTTTGAGAAATATACACAACCTGTTATCAGAAACTGTGACTTGTCTTAACTTTATTAGCAACACCAAGCAGCCATTCTGTCATTAAGGAAACGCTGCACAATCTCTGGTAGCTTAGGTTTATTTTTTTCTGAAAGAACAAATTTTACCAAACTACGATAGTAGGTTATACTATGTTATCTATGGTTGGCCTGGCTATGCGTCACTCAGAAAACAGTCAGCCAATTAGGAGAGGGGCTAAGAAACCAACACAAAACGCCTTGTTCTTACTAGAGCTCTTATGGATCACTTACTATGAATCTG